TGAAATGCTAGGCTCAAGATTTTACCACTTTGATTCCCCCAGATTCTATTAAACACAAATTTGTTATTTCTTCTCATTATTCTTACCACATGCCATCGACATTCCTCTTGTTCATTTTTCACAGTTTAGAATCTTCTATATAGGCAAGTCTACATTTCTATAGTCATATTAATGGTTTCTTATGTAGAATAAGTTTTTTACAATATTGAAATTTGAACTCAAGGTCTGGAACCACGATCCTCTCAATTTCGGCCTCTCTATCATTCCTATTGAAGTAAAATAGCCTCCATTGAGGAGTGAGAGAAGGGAGTGGAAATGGGGTATGAGGATAAATATGGTAGAAGAAAGGAGCGGGGATAAAGGAGAGAGATACAGAGTGTGAAGTTGTTGGGATATATTATGTGCATGTATGGAAATGTCACAATATTTCATTCTAAACCTAATAAAAGATAGTAAAAAATTGGGGGAATAGAAAGAAGCCAATTTAGCTGTATGCTACTTATGAGGCACATTAAAACATGATATTCATCAATAATGTTAAAGGGAAATTAGGCATCTAGCAGATAAAGTATGAGCACTTGCCAATAACTTAAAAAACTTCAATAGGAAATGAAAAATTCCCAGAATAATGCACTCATCAAAATGACTTATACCAAAGAAGTAGAAAAATTAGTAATTCCATAATTACTGAAATTTAATCAACAGCACATTTTTTCACACACTCACAAAAAATGCATCCCAAGCCGGGTGTTGGTGGCTCACACCCATAATCCTGGGCTCAAGTCGTAGAGCACTATCCAGGCTCTGAGTTCAAACCTCAGCACCAGTCCCCCCCCCATGAGAGAAATAAAACACTCAATGATTTCAGAGGCAAGTTCTACCCACCTTTTAAAGAAAAGTTGACTTACATTTTTTTTCCCTAAATATCCAAGAAAAAAGATGGTTGAAAACATTCCCAACTTAATGTATAATCTAATCAAAATCAGGTAAGAATAGCACAAGAGAAAATTACAAGCCAGCCTCTTGTCACTGTATTAGAAATTAGAGTCAACTAAAATCACTTATCTATTCAAAACTCTACTGGAAAGGTGGCCAGTGAGTGGTATCACAAACAGGGATATGGCAGACACTCGAGACCTGGTTCCAAGGAACTCACCATTGAGGAATACCTGTGTGTGCTCAGGATGCTGGGAATTGAGTGCCGGACTTTGATGCCTAACTCATTTTTCCTCTAAGGCAGTCCAAGTTCTACTAATTCCAATCAATCTTTTTTTTTTTTTTTTTGTCGGTTGTAGGGGTCTGAACTCTAGGCCTGGCGCTGTCCCTCAGCTCTTCAGCTGAAAGCTAGCCCTCTACCACTTTTGAGCCTCAGCCCCACTTCCGGCTTTTTCTGCTTGTGTTGCTGAGGAATCAAACACAGGGCCTTGTGCATGCAAGGCAAGCACCACTGAGCCACCTTCCCAGCCCTTCCAATCAATCCTAAATTTTCACTTTATCACTTCTCTTAAATACATAAACTGCTATCTTGCTTTGGGATTACCACTTGCTTTCTGAGGTGTGTTTTCACAAATTAAAGGCAGGCGGTCATGTAGCATTCACATCAAATTAACACAAGTGACAGTACACAGGGCTGAGAGCTTGCTTGCACCCACTGAACTGTAAAATGCATGCATGGAAACTTAAAAATTTTTAATTTTTTTTTATTTTTTCACAGTGCTTGATCAAAACTCTGTGTAACACATCTGCAAATAAGGCAGGTTTGTTACATATATTTTATTTTATTTATCTTTTTGGGGGTTCTGGTCATGAGGCCTGAACTCTGGGCCTGGGCGCTGTCCCTCAGCTCTTCAGCTCAAGGACAGCGCTCTACCACTTGAGCCACAGCACCACTCCCGGCTTTTTTCTTTTTGCTTATGTGGTGCTGAGGAATCGAACCCAGGGCCTCATGCATGCAAGGCAAGTGCTCTACCACTAAGCCACCTTCCCAGCCATGTTACATATATTTTAATTTTAAAATAATTAAGAAAGGAAAAAAGTCTTAATTGCAAATGCTATTATCCACCTAAAAGACCCCCAAAATCCTACAAAATTTAAATATAAAGGCTTAGTAAATGGCTGGATACAGAGACAGTAATCAGAGTTGTGTCGCCGCTCAAACACAAGCTCTAAGTTCCAATCCCAATATTGCCCTCCTGCCTCTCCCCCCTCCCCCACAAAAGAGAGAGCAGTAATCAAAACTGTAATTTCTTAGGTCGGTATACCAAAAATTGTGTTTTTAAAAGGCACCATTTACAACGTTTTTAAAAGAAAAGAAACTAGAAATAAATCCAACAAAGAATGTTCTGAAGCTTTATTAGGAAAATTCTAAGAACCCAATGGAAAGATATGATAATGATTAAGAAGATTCAGTACTAGGAAGACTTTTTTCCCCTTTAAGTAATCTACTGTTTCAGTACTAACACAACTAAAGTCCCAACAGAATCCTTTGGGAAATGCTAGTTTCATTTCCAAAGCTGCAAAGAACAAAGAACCAAACCTTTCCTAATAAACAGATGAAAGGACTTGTTTAAATATAAAGTTTTCTATAAGCCATAGAAATATATGCATTGGGCAAGGTGCCAGTGGCTCACACCTGTAATCCGTTTAAATATAAAGTTTTCTATAAGCCATAGAAATATATGCATTGGGCAAGGTGCCAGTGGCTCACACCTGTAATCCTAGCTACTCAGGAGGCTGAGATCTGAGGATCACGGTTCAAAGCCAGCCCAAGCAGGAAAAAATCTGTGAGACTCATCTCCAATTAACCACCAGAAAACTGGAAGTGGTGCTGTGGCTCAAGTGGTAGAGCACTCACTTTGAGCTGAAGAGCTCAGGGACAGTGTTCAGATCCAGATTCAAGCCCCATGGCCAACAAAAAAATAAATAAATAAAAAATAAAAGAGAGAGAGACAAGAAATATATGCATTGGTATTGGATTTATAACAGACAGTAAGCCAATAGAATCAACAGCCCAAATAAAACACTCATACAAAAACTCACAGATGGCTGGGTACCAGTGGCTCACACCTGTAATCCTAGCTACTCAGGAGACTGACAACTAAGATTGTGGTTCAAATCCGGTCTGGCTAGAATACTGTAAGACTCTTACCTCAAAATTAACCACCAAAAAGGCAGAAGTAGAGCTGTGGCTCAAGTGGTAGAACACTATCCTGAGTTTAAGCCCCAGGAGCAGCGCGCGCGCACACACACACACACACACACACACACACACACACACACACACACACACACACACACACACACACACACACACACACACACACACACACACACACACACACACACACACACACACACACACACACACACACACACACACACACACACACAGCCCCTCACATACATTAAGTGGAACTGCAGAGAATGGATTAAACTTTCAATAATGGGCTTTGGATAAATAAATACAGTAGATCTGGATACATTTATCATGCCATATACATACACGCATAACATTCAATCTGGACTAAAGTATATGAGGTTATATCATTTTTTAGAATATAGACTATCATCATTACTTCAGCTCAGATTTTGATGCTAGGTATTAAACCCAGTATTGTGTGCCTGCTAGGCAAACACTGGACCACTGAGTAATACCCCTACCCAAACAGATTTCTTAAACAGATCACAAAAGCACAGAACAGAGAAATTGTAAGTGGTGGCACATAACTGTCATTCTAGCTCATAAGACACCAAGGTGAGAGAACTTCAAATCCCTAGCCAGCCTAGCCTACAGGGGAGGCCCTCTCAAAACAAATAAGAAGCAAAGAAACACATTTTCTACCTCAAATGTATAACTCAAGCTAAAAACAAAAACAAAAACAGGCCTAACTTCATGTTTATAGGAAATACAGACTAAAGGACACCATCAAACTCCTATCAAATAATTCCAAAATGTAGAAATTACAATCCCATACCAGGGTGGGAACAAGGTAGAAATCAATCAATAGAAGCTAACCATACATGACAGAGATGGCAGATCTGCTGTACTACAGATGCTCCCCTTGCCCTCTCCCAAGACAAAAAGAAGAATAAAGTTGGAGTTTGTAAATGAGAGACACAGACGAGAAAAAAAGGCCCAAATAGGCCTAAAGACTAAACACATGCATTGGGTGGCATGAAAAGATTAGTCACTTCAGAAGAAAGGCCATGTCAACGGAAACTACAAACACAAAACACAGGAGAAAAAGGAAAAGTTAACAAAGTGAACAGAGCATCAGTGTGCTGGCACAGCTTTAAACAGCTAACACACAAGGAAGTGGAGCGCCAGGAGGGAAAGGGTGCAGGTGGAGGGACAGAAACATTAACTGAAAGAATAATGCCAAAAAAAAAAATCCAAACTGGATGAAAACCATGAACCTACAATGGAAAAAATGACACTAAGCACACTGCAATCAAACTGCTTAATTCCAGTGACAATGAGAACATCACGACTCTAATTCCAGCACTTGGGAGGCAGACGCAAGAGGATCTCTAATCTGAGGCCACTGTGGGCTACATAATGAGACCCTACATCAAAAATACCATAAACCTTGGGCAGGGAAGGTGGCTCAGTGGTAGAGTGCTTGCCTTGCATGCATGAGGCCCTGGGTTCAATTCCTCAGCACCACATAAGCAAAAAGAAAAAAGCTGGAAGTGGCGCTGTGGCTCAAGTGGTAGAGCGCTAGCCTTGAGCTGAAGAGCTGAGGGACAGCGCCCAGGCCTAGAGTTCAGGCCCCATGACCGACAAAAAGAAAAAAAGAAGAAAAAAAAAAAAAGATGTTAAAGTGAAAAAAGAAAGTTCCAGGAGTAAAACATATGCCATTTATATAAAATTCAAAAACATACAAAATTACCTTGTGAAGCTAGAACAAGATCATGGAAAACATAAAATTCAGAATAAAAATTACTCAGAAAATGGAAGACTTCTAAAATATAGGTGATATTCTATTTCTTAAAATGACTGATGGGTACACAGATATTTATATTTATTATTCTTTATACTATCTATACATGTTTGTGTCTTTTGTAGTATGAAATACTGCATGTTAAAAACAAGAGTAAAAGACATTGAAAATGAATTCTGCCACTTAGGTGTAACAACAAAATTAGTATAAAAAAAGATACACAAAAAACTGTTCAGTTATCTTTCAGAGCCCTATGTTATCAATCTAAAAGGGCCATAATCCTAATATGAAAGAAAACACAACAAGAAGCAGAGTTTATAACTGCTTTGACAAAACTGTGGGTGGACATGTCTCCAGTTTCTTAAGTTAGGCAAGAGTAAACTCTTCACTTTTCATCTGTACTTAGATTTTTCTTTGTCTTTGGATTTCTTTGGACTTCTGCTTCGTTCTCTCTTCTTGCTTCTTTCTCTCTCATACGGATCTGCTTGGTATCTGGACTTGTGGCTGTGGCCGTAGTGGCCATCCCTATCTCGAGATCGACTACGACTACGCTTCTGAGGCCGGTCTCTCTTCTCACTCTTTTGCTTCTCCCAACAGGCTTCTTCTTCTTCATAGTGACCAAACCCCATCTCCCTGTAGATATCCTGCCAAAGACATACAGAGTTACACTTGAACCACTGAAATCATGTTAGGGACCTTGTTAAGTAAAACCTAGCAAAGTCTACTGTCAGCCAATTGTTGTAACTAAGTCTCCTTATGTAACCCAAGCTGGCCTTGAGTTCATGATCCTCCTGTTTTGGCCTCCTGAGTGCTGTGATTATAAATATGCACCATCATGCCAAGCTTCAACTTTAAATATTACTAATGTCAAGAATCTCATAAGCTAAAATATAAAATAGGGCAGGCACTGTGGCTCAGACCTGTAATCCCAGCTACTTGGAATGTAGAAACAAATGGATGAGTTCAAGGCTGGGCTGGACACAAAAGTAGTAAGAGTAGTAAGAGCCCATCTCAACAAATAAGCTGGGTTGGTTTTTACTTGCAATCCCAGCTACACAGGAAGTAAATATAGGAGTATCACATTCTGAGACCTCCACAGGCAAAAGTGGAGACCCAATGTGAAAAACAAACTAAAACAAAAGGGCTCTGGACATAGGCTTAAATGGTATAGCACTTGAGTGGTAAAGTGTCAACTATAAGCAGAAGAAAAGCCAGTCAGAGCAAGGTAAGCCAAGAGCAGAGAGACTAACGGTACATGGTCTCCCGGATATGTGGATGTTAAATTCAAAATTCAAGGAGATATAACACGTAAACAGGACTCAAGAAACAAAGGACCTCTACTTAATTTGTGGTATCATTACTAAATGACTCCATGTTTTTGACCATATATATGTATATATGTATGTATTATGTATATGTATATATATGTATAATACACACACGTGTATGTGCACATCTGAGGGAAGCTAGGAGGAGGGCATAGAATCAGAAGGAAATGGGAAAATATACAACAGAGGAGCCCATCAGTTGCACTGGACATTGATGAAAATGAACTAAGCAACTCAACAGCAATGATGGAAGGGAGAGAATGAGAGGGAAAGCGGGAACAGCTTACACTAAGCAAAAGGAAAGAAATGTACGTATCACCTGATGTGGAAGAAATAGTTGTATTGTCAAAGCATACAGAATTCACAAACTTTATAAACCATGATAATGACAATTTGCCTTGTGAAGGCTAAAATGTGTTTGTGACTTTAACTAAATATCACTATCCCACAATACTGTGAAATTTATGTAATCACTTAATCTCAACAAGAAATTATTTTTTTTAAAAAGCCAGTCAGAGGGCTGGGAAGGTGGCTCAGTGGTAGAGCGCTTGCCTTGCAAGCATGAGGTCCTGGGTTCAATTCCTCAGCACCACATAAGCAAAAAGAAAAAAGCGGGAAGTGGCGCTGTGGCTTAAGTGGTAGAGTGCTAGCCTTGAGCTGAAGAGCTGAGCGACAGCACCCAGGCCCAGAGTTCAGGCCCCACGACCTGACCCCCCTTCTCCCCCCGAAAAAAAAAAGCCAGTCAGAGTTGACCCACTAATATGGTATGGATAACACAATACTTAAGAGCTTCTGGGGCTGGGAAGGTGACTCAGTGATAGAGTGCTTTCCTTGCATGCATGAAACTCTGGGTTCGATTCCTCAGCACCACATAAGCAGAAAAAACCAGAAGTGGTGCTGTGGCTCAGTGGTAGAAAGCTAGTCTTGAGCTGAAGAGCTGAGGGACAGTGCTCAGGCCCAGAGTTCAGGCCCCACAACCAGAAAAAAAAAAAAAAAAAGAGCTTCAGTAGTATATCGCCCTCATTCTAGAAACAGAGGCCAAGATTTAAGATCTGCCCAGTTTAATATCATTATTTAACAACTTTATATACAAAATTTAAAGTAAGGGGAGGGGGTAGAACAGGGTAAAAAATAATGAAAAAAATGCCAACATCTAGCTAGGCACTGGTGGCTTGAACCTATAATCCTAGCTACTGAGGAGAGGCTGAGATCTAAGGATCACAGTTTGAAACCAGCAGGGGCAGGAAAGTCTATGAGACTCTATCTCCAATAAACTGTTCAAAAAAAGCCAGAAAGGGAGCTGTGGCTCAAGTGCTAGAGTTCTATCCCTGAGCAAAAGGAGCTCAGAGACAGCATCCAGAACCTCAGTTTAAGCCCCAGGACACACACACACACACACACACACACACACACACACACACACACACACACACACACACACACACACACACACACACACACACACACACACACACACACACACACACACACACACACACACACACACACACACACACACACACACACACACACACTCCAACACCTGATTGAATCTTATCTAAGATGAATTTAAATCAATAAGGTCTTTTCCAATATAGACTTTATGTTTTATACACTTATGACATAAAACAAGGTGAATAAAAAAGCATATAACTAAAAGGACAGACACATACTCCCATGTAAAGCAATTAACCCAGCAAATGACCTGCTGTAAAGCTATCTTTGCTCAGGCCTCTGAGATTAAATAGAAGATTCAATTAAATGAAACAGGGAAAAAAAGAATTAAACCTAAGCATTGAAAGAACATTAAATCATTAAAATGATAGCAAGAATAGAGTGCCAAATTCTACATATGGCAGGAAAAGCCCAGTGGAGAACCGATACCCAGAATGACTCTCAGGCAGGCGACCCACAGCTCAACACTCATTTCCTATAACCTCAGTGAGACCCAACCTCAACGACACAAAAATCACATTTGTATTTAAGACACGAGGTGGAAAAATTAAACACGAGTTTCAAACTGAATTGTAAGTCTTTCAAGAAAAAAAAACAATTTAAAGAATTCAGTTAAAACATTCTTAGGAAATTGGACTCACCCAGTAAAATACTAACAAATAGGAAAATATGAGTTACACCTGAAATTTAACTAGTGTTGAAAATTTCCTTTAACTATTATGTCTCTTAGTCTGGAATCAAAGGAAAATTAATGAAGCTATGTTATTATTTAAAAATATTTACTTTAATATACTTGGGAGAAACAGGAAAACTATAGTTAAAATTACTATAAAAATACTATTGACCTTCCCCCAGAATAATACTTCTTACTTCGCACCAACAGAGAATTTTGTTAATAGCAAGTTTTAAGTCATCAAGTAGCAGGACCAAAAGACTCATAAAAGGGAGGAGGAACAGACTTAAAATATCATCAGCCTGGGCTGGGAAGATGGCTCAGTGGTAGAGCGCTTGCTGTGCATGCCTGAGGCCCTGGGTTCGATTCCTCAGTACCACATAAGCAAAATGAAAAAAAAGTCGGAAGTGGTGCTGTGGCTTAAGTGGTAGAGCGCTAGCCTTGAGCTAAGAGCTGAGGGACAGCACCCAGGCCCAGAGTTCAGGCCCCACAACTGGACCAAAAAAAAAAAAAAAAAAATATATATATATATATATATATATATATCATCAGCCTTTGAATTTAGTAGACTTCTAATTATCTCAAACACAGCAATGTTTATCTCAGCCCTGGACTTACTGAAGACTCCAGGTGCAAGCACAGATGGAAAGCTACAGGTAAAAAGCACATGAGACAAGGACTATGGGTTTTTAGTAAAAATACTTAAAGGAGTATGAAAAAAGCACCACAGTGATCTTGAACTAAATATAGTATAGAAATAAGGAGAGAGGAGAAACTCCTCCTATACATCATGGTGAAATGCCAGGCTATTACACCCAAGTAGGAATAGGATTAAGGAAATAAATTCAACAAGAATACATTCAGATAAAAACAGCAATAGACTAGGCAAGAGTCTGAGCTAAAGTAGGCAATTGTTACTTACTATGTAAAACAATGGCCAGTAGCTTAATCTTAGTTTTCTTTGTTGTAAAATAGAGATAAAAGAATTCAGCTCATCTTTTAAGGATAAAAAGACACTACAATTGCTTTTATTGTAACTGATTCATGTGAGTAGTATTTGAAGGAAAGAACAAGGGTACAACTTAAAAAAACTAGGGTGAGACATGAAAGATGGCAATCTTTAAATAGATAGTAGACTATGAAAGGAAATTACTCCTCTGCTACACCACACCAAGGTAGAAATGTATGCTACTTTGAAAGAGGGAGCTAAGAACATACATACATATATATATATATATATATATATATATATATATATATATATATATATGTTAAATGTATATATAAATGATAAATATTTTTACTAAAATAATTTTTTAATGAAGACAAACCATAAAAATACATAAAAAGTTACCTACAGAAGAAAGATGAAAAGGAGAGGTAGAAGCTAGATATATCTAAGCATTATTTTGTAGATTTTGCTTTTTTTTTTTAGACTACTTCGCTCAGCGAGGCTCAAGCTCTCAACCTTCCTGCCTCATCATCCTGAGTGCTAGGATGACATGCACACACCACCACGCCTGGCTTGATTTTACTTCTGTCTTAAAACATTTTGATTTTACAGTTTTAAAACAACAAATTAAAAAAATGTTCCAAGCAATCCTTTAATAACAAAAAAAAGAAAATTAAAACAAATGAACTGAAATATGAACATAGTTAATGACATAACCACAAGGAGAAGCTATTACAACTGCACTTTGTGACTGCAATAGCAAAGGAAGTGGTGATAAAAATAAGCCAAGTGGCTGTACTAGTGTGTTCCGGTACTCAACTCAGGAGACTAAGGCAAAAGGGCTCAAATACAGTGCCAGCTTGGGCTACACAAAGAGACCCTGTTTCAAAACAAAAACAAAAAACAAAAAGAATGGCCATGAGGCTGGGAAGGTGGCTCAGTGGTAGAGCGCTTGCCTTGCATGCATGAGGCCCTAGGTTTGATTCCTCAGCATCACATAAGCAGGAAAAAAAAAGCCGGAAGTGGTGGTATGGCTCAAGTGGTAGAGAGCTATCCTTGAGTTGAAGGGCTGAGGGACAGTGCTCAAGCCCAGAGTTTAGGCCCATGACCGGACCTCCCTCCCACAAAAAAAAAAAAAGAATGGCCAGTTGTAGAAAATGTGTGCATACATTTTTTCAATTAATTATACAGCATGGCTGTGAAGTATTATCTCATTTCACAGAGGAGAAAACTATGGTTCAGAAAGTAACATGTCAAGTCCCATCGATGGCCTCCAGCATAAAAATGTCAATCTAAGATTCCAGGCAGCAAAGTTTTTCCTTTGTTTACTATATTTCTGTATCTCAACATTCTTACCTTCCTAGGCTCCCTCCCTCCTCACCTCAACCTCAGCCCACCACAATCCTCATCCATTTGGGCTCAGCTCAAATGTGAGATACAATAAAAGCATGGGGCTGTGGCATAATTTGCTTTTTATTTAACAGAGACTCAAAACACAAGTTGGACATTATTTCTGCTTGCCAAGAACTGGTGGCCCACACCTGTAATCCTAGATATTCAGGAGGCTGAGACCTGAGGAACATGATTTGAAGTTAGCCCAGGCAGAAAAGTTCTGGAAATTCGGGTTGGGAATGTAGCTTGGTGGTAGAGTGCTTGCCTAGCATGCATGAAGCCCTGGGTTCAACTCCTTAGTACCACATATACAAAAAAAGCTAGAATTAGTGCTGTGGCACAAGTGGTAGAATGCTAGCCTTGAGCAAAAGAAACTCAGGGACAGGTCCTGGGTTCAAGCCCCAGAATTGATCAAAAATAAAATAAATAAACAGTTCTGGAAATTATTATCTACAATTAACCAGCATTGCTGGACTGGTAGTATGGCTCAAGCAGTAGATCAAGGGAGGAAGGGAGCGAAAATAATTTCTTCTCTTTAAAATCAATTTACTTTGAGAAATTTTCATTAGTATTGTTGAAGAAAATGTGATATTCAGAACTTTGGGATGATCGCGTTACCTACTGGTGCTACATTTAATATTCAATACAAAGTGTATAAATGGTTGACAGACTATAAAAGCTACAAGGTTCTAAGTGCTGCACATAAAACCCAGGCTGCAATCGAACACTATTTTTCAGTTTTTGATGGAAATAAATGGGTACCCACAGATGGCAGATCACTCTTGCTTCACATGTGGAAATATGACACATTAAGTTACCTTGAATGCAATCTTTTTTACAGCATATGATATATAGTTTTGAAAATTAAAGCCCATTAACTCTAGAAAACCATTCTACATTTTAGAGTTAGGAATTACTTTTCAGACCTATCTCTTCTCTCCTATATTATTATACCTTTAAGATGTAATTTACAAAGGGACACCTAGACAAAGACATTAAACCAACCTGGTTAGTATTTCTGATTGGCATGTAATCTTCATCTTCTTTTTCTTCAGAGCAATGGCGTGTTTTTTTCTTATGTTTTTTACTTGTATGGGAGTGACTTGATTTTGAGTCTTCTGCCTGCTCATCGAGTATAAGATCATATTTTGCACTAAAGCAATTAGTTAAGGACAAACATAAAATGACCAAATAGAAATCAAAATGTAAAATCTGTTAAGCAAGACAGGTTATAAGGCTAAATGTAACTTGAAAAGCAAACAGTATTTCAAAAGCAGAGAAAGTACACATTTCTAAAACAAATCTAAGGCATTTTCTTTCATTATGTATCAGAAAAAATATAAAGAATCCTAATCCTATACAGCTAATAACTACTAGACAAAAAAAGGGAGAAAAACAGTGTTCACAAATGAAAATGCAAGCAGCATTAAGAAATAAGGAAATATATTTATCAATAACACCGAAAAACATTTTTAACATAGAGCCAAGTGCTAGTAGCTCATGCTTATAAACCTAAGCTACTCAGGAAGCTAAGATCTAAGGATCACGGGTAAAAGCAAGGCTGGGCAGGAAAGTCTGTAAGACTATCTCTAATTAACCACCAGAAAACCAGAAGTAGAGCTGTGGCTCAAGTGACAAGAGTGCTAGCCTTGATCCAAAGAGCTCAGTGACAACACCCAGGCCCTGAATTCAAGCCCCAAGAATGTGAAAAGAGAGAGAAAAAAAATTAAAGAGTATTTAAAAAAAAGCATAAGGAAAAAAGAAATATTATACAAGGTAACAGGTACATTCATATGATTAAATCAGTCCTTTAGAAGGAAATTTAGCAATGCACATTAATAGTTAACGTGTAACTTTGTTGAGTCTGTGGTATAGCTCAGTGGTAGAATACTTGCTAGCATACATGAAGTCCTGGGGTTTAATCTCAAACATGGTGTAGGGGGTTATTTTTTCAGGAGTAGGGTTTGAACTTAGGGGTATCACCCATGTTAGGAAAGTACTCTACTGCTGAGCCACACTTCTAGCCCTGTTTTGCACTGGTTGCTTTTGATGGGGTCTTACTTCTTGACAAGGCACACACTGTGAACATAACTGTGAACATAATCAACCAATTTTAGGCTTCTTTCCACCGTTTCATAGATGTCATACTAACACATCTGCATGTAGCTTCTCTCTACTGAGAAACTCTGGTAGACTTTGCTGCTCAGACTGCCTAGAAGTTAGATCTTAATTTCAGCCTCCTGGGTACCTTTAGACACAGGTATATGCTACTATAATAAGCTATGGGTTGAGACAGATTCTAGGCTGACCCTCCATTTTAATCCTGCTGTTCTCAGCCTCCCAAGTAGCTAAGATTACAGATGTGAACCACTGGCACTAGCTAAAAAAACTTATAAAAACTAAAATAATAAATGAACAAAGACATGCGGCATATTAAAATTTTAATATCAGAAAATAAACAAAAATATTTAGTAATATATACTTGAAAACATTCTACTTTAATACAATGCAATGAAAGCTATTAACAAGTGATAAATGCTCTGAAAAAAACAATTTCAGGTTTATATAAAATCTTACTTAGGTATATGAAAGCTAAAAGTGAAAAGAATCTTAAATTTGTGTAAAAGCTGTGTGCCAGTGGCTCATGCCTATAATCCTAGCAACTCAAGAGGCTGCCTCCAGAATTTTGATTCAAAGCTAGCCCTAGCAGAAAAATCTGACATCACCACCAAAATAAGCAGCAGAAAGCAATGTCAGTATGACTTAAGTGACCACCGAAAGAATACCAGCCAAGCCAACAAGCTAAGCAAGTCCAAGGCCATGAATTCAAACTCCAATACCAGGGGGACAAAGGAAAAAAAGCCTGCATGGCTCAGCAGTAGAGTGACTTTCTAGCAAGTACAGGACCAATTTCAAACCCCCAACACCATCAAAAAATTTAAATGAACAAAGGAGGAGGCTACAATGCTTGATAAGAAATGTACTCATGGGCTGGGAAGGTGGCTCAGTGGTAGAGCGCTTGCCTTGCATGCATGAGGCCCTGGGTTCAATTCCTCAGCACCACATAAGAAAAAAGAAAAAAGCCGGAAGTGGCGCTGTGGCTCAAGTGGTAGAGCGCTAGCCTTGAGCTGAAGAGCTGAGGGACAGCGCCCAGGCCCAGAGTTCAGCCCCCCCCCCCCCAAAAAAAGAAATGTACTCATTATCTTGCCCATGTAATTGTAATCTCTCTGTATAGTATTTTCACAATAAAAAAAATCTAAACATGAAAAAAAAATTTTAAATGACACTTCCCGCCCCCAAATCCCTATATACATAGTAGTGTAATCTGAGCATAATCTGAGCATAATTTGTCTAAGTGATAGTTAAACTAAGTTCATCTTTTCTAAATTTCACTTAAATGTGCTACTAAAATATTAACAATGGGGTTGAGGATATAGCTCAGTGAGTGAATACTTGCTAACATGAGCAAAGTCCTGGGTTTGATACACCAAATAATAATTATAATAATATTTTATTTCAAGGATAAGTAGTTTCCTTAATATACAAAAACTGCCTAGTGCTGATGGCTCACACCTGTAATCCTAGCTACTAAGGAGGCTGAGATCTGAGAATCACAGTTCAAGGCCAACCCAGATAGGAAAGTCTATGAAATTCTTATCTCCAATTAACTACCATAAAACAGGAAGTAGAGCTGTGGCTCAAAGTGGTAGGGTGATAGCCTTGAGCAAAAGAGCTCAGGGACAGTGCCCAGGCCCTGAGTTCAAGCCCCAGGACTGACAAAAAAAAAACTATGGAATAAAAGAAAGCATAAAACTGTTAACAATTCCTGCTGAAAATAATCTCAACTTGTAAAATGGATTTGGAGAAGGCTAACAAGGGCTTGAGCTTGTTCAGTTAGTATTCAAAGGAAGGCTCATGAGGAAACCAACATACAAGGAGCTATTTTTGTTGCATGTGGGACTGGAACAAATGTAACCTATTCCTTAAAACTAGAATCTTGTGTCCATTTTCACAATACCACAGCTTGAGGCTTTCCTCAAGGATGTCTTCCACACCCATACAATCAACTAGGAAGACACAAAATGCTGGGCGTTCTACAAGAGGACTAAACGTGGCTAGTCAGCCCATAGCTTCCCATTATTACTCCATTATCTCCAACTTCTTTTCTCCCTTTTTTTTTGGGGGGGGCTCCGGTTGTGGGGCCTGAACTCTGGGCCTGGGCACTGTCCCTCAGCTCTTCAGCTCAAGGCTAGCACTCTACCACTTGAGCCACAGCGCCACTTCCGGCTTTTTTCTTTTTGCTTATGTGGTGCTGAGGAATCGAACCCAGGGCCTCATGCATGCAAGGCAAGCGCTCTACCACCGAGCCACCTTCCCAGCCCCTTTTCTCCCTTTTACTATGTCACACTACTTTCAGTGTTCTTCAAACCAATCAGCATTTTTAGGTTATAAATAAAATAGGAGGGACTGGGAAGGTGGCTCAGTGGTAGAGTGCATGCATGAAGCCCTGGGTTCGATTCCTCAGCACCACATAAACAAAAAGAAAAAAGCTGGAAGTGGCACTGTGGCTCAAGTGGTAGAACACTAGCCTTGAGCTGAAGAGCTTAGAGACAGCGCCCAGGCCCAGAGTTCAGGCCCCATGACCGGACCCAAAAATAAATAAATAAATAAATAAAAATAAAATAGGAAAGCCAGGCGCCAGTGGTTCACACCTGTAATCCTAGCTACTTAGGAGGCTGAGATCTGAGGATCATGGTTCAAAGCCAGCCTGGGCAGGAAAGTCTGTGAAACTCACCTCCAATAAACCACCAGAAAACTGGAAGTGGCACTGTAGCTGAAGTGGTAGAGCACTAGCCTTGAGCTGAAGAGCTGAGGGACAGCACTAGGGCCCAGAGTTCAAGCCCCATGACCGACAAAAAAAAAAAAAGGAAAAAGGGAGGTAGCTCAGTGATTAAGGGTTAAAGATCCTTATTTTATGAAATCCTGTTCTAATCACATGGGGGCAGGGTGTTAATTGAATTCTGACTCAGTAGAGTCATTAAAATATGATACATTTTAGAAAGAAAAATAAGGTTTCAGTAAGTTGCTGAGGCTATCCTTGAACAAGACTTGAGCAATCCTCCTGCCTCAGCCTCCCTCTGAGCAGTTGGGACTTCAAGTACACTTCCTGCCACATACACTCTCTCCAATGGTGGATTTAAAGAAAATCCATTACTAAAGAAACCAGCTCCTGACACAGCCCTCCTCTATCCTGTATCTGAGTTGCAGCTTGAACTTTAGTCCCTTTGGTGCTACTTAGGCTATTTCCTAACCTCTTACCCTACTGTAAGTCCCATATCTCTGAAATAGACATAATTTATGTCTAACATAATTATTTTATACTAGCTCCTCCCTCCTACTCCTGTAGCCGTGGATGGGTAGGGACAGGATCTTTCATTCTTAACCTGGATATTAAGTATTTGTAGAGGATCTGTTATACCATTAGGACACTTGGATTCTTTCTTCCTTGCTTATCCACTGTCTTCCACTCAATACTAAAACCAAAACCAACCTTTTATGATGTCAAATCTCCAAAATCCTTTATATCAAACACAAATTCGTGATCTCACTGACATCTTTTGTCTAGTTTCTTCACAAAGGTCTAAACTCCCTTACCTGCTATTTGATCTTTTTGATTAATAATCTCCATTCACAGAAATTTCTCTTTCTTTCAAGATCTATAAAATGTATTCCCCCTAAGCCTTTTAGTTGACTCAGACATCCTCTGAATCCTTTTCCTTTGCCATAAATAACTAATATAATATAGATATTACAAATGCCTCCTAAAATGAAACCTGTCAGCTACCAAGATCACATCCATCTTTTATATCAACTTCAGAAGGCTAGAAAGTTGTACTGTCAGTATTAGCAATATGTTTATTCAATTAAAATTTAAAAAGTTCAGTTCCTAGAACAAATCATGTTAAGTGAGGTAAGCCAAGATCAGAGAAGCAAACAGCTCATGTTCTCCCTGATATGAGGAAGTTAGAGCTAAAACAGAATGGGACATGACAAAATAAACAAAATTCTAGATACTCACATACAGTGAGACCAAAAGTGGATAGTCTTAGGAGAAAATCATGAAGGTGTAATACCCAAGCACTTCTTCATATGTATATAAGATACATACTGAAATGAACTCCAAAGATATGGAAACAAAGGACTTTTTTCCATTTTTTGTTGGTCGTGGGGCTTGAACTCTGGGCCTGGGAGCTGTCCCTCAGCTCTTCAGCTCAAGGAGAGCACTCTACCACTTGAGCTACAGCACCACTTCCAGGACGTTTTTCTTAAATTGTTTTTTCTTAAAAAAAAAAAAAAAAGTCCAGTTCCTCAGATGTCTCACTAACTACATGTGGGCAGGGAAGGAAAAGTACATTTTCATCATTGCAGAAATTTCTACTCAACAGTCCTAAACGAGACAGACTAGCCACTGATTCTCAAATATGCCTAGTTTCTTAACTACTAGTGCTCTGTCTTCTTGGGTTTAAGATATTTTGATGCTACAAAATTTAAATATTCTTTCCTTTTTCTGTTTGTTTTTTGCAGTGCTGAGGATGGAACTGAGGGTCTGCTGCATGGAGGTAAGCAAGCAAGGCAAGTGTTCTATCACTAAGCTATACCTTAGCCTTACCTAGTCCTTCTTTTTAACCTGAACTACCTCCATAGGGAAAAAGACATCTTCTAATTTCTGCTCTACAACTGTACTTCCTTTATTTTTTTTAATTTATGGAACAATCTCTCTTTTTTATTATCTTTCAGTAGTTGCACAAAGGAGTTGCTGTAAGAATACAATATATCTTGGGCTGGGAAGGTGGCTCAGTGGTAGAGCGCTTGCCTTGCATGCCTGAGGCCCTGGGTTCAATTCCTCGGCACCACATAAGCAAAAAGAAAAAAGCTGGAAGTGGTGCTGTGGCTCAAGTGGTAGAGCGCTAGCCTTGAGCTGAAGAGCTGAGGGACAGGGCCCAGGCCCAGAGTTCAGGCCCCACAACCAGATCCCCCCCCCCAAAAAAAAGAATACAATGTATCTTGATTAATGTCACCCTCTCATAATTCTTCCCCACCTCCCAGCCCTTCCTCAATTTTCTTAATTTTGTAGAATATGCATTGAATTTTATGATGTACTTCCTCTTATTTATCCTATAACATTCCCCTTCTTCCAGTTGCACTTACTAGTGCTTAGGCTAAGGTTGCCTGCAAGGATGGCAAGGGCCAGGAGTGGTAGTATACACATGTAAAACTAGCTACTCAGAAAGAGATTGGAAGAATTCTGAGGCCAGCCCCGGAATAAAATTATTGAGTCTCGCCGGGCGCTGGTGGCTCACGCCTGTAATCCTAGCTACTCAGGAGGCTGAGATCTGAGAATCGCGGTTCAAAGCCAGCCCGGGCAGGAGAGACCGTGAGACTCCTATCTCCAATAAACCACCAGAAAACCGGAAGTGGCGCTGTAGCTCAAGTGGTAGAGCACTCGCCTTGAGCTGAAGAGCTGAGGGACAGCGCCCAGGCCCAGAGTTCAAGCCCCACGACCGACAAGAAAAAAAAAAAAATTATCGAGAGTCCATCTGAACAAACAAGCAGGACGTGGTGGTCCATGCCTGTCAGCCCTGCTACACAGGAGGCTTAAGTAAGAGGACCACGATCTGAGGCTGGCTCTAGGCAAAAATTTGAGACACTGTGTGAAAAATAACTAAAGCAGTAAAAGAGCTGAGGATGTAGTTCAAGTGGTACAGCATCTGTCTAGCAAGTGCAAGGCCTTGAGTTCAGACCCCACTGTCACCAAGACCAAAACCTAGTGTATCCCACCCATACCTTTTATGATTTTAGGTTTCCAATCACACGTCCCCTAATGTTGCTCTTTGTAGAGCAATTATCAACTTGTTGGTTCTGCTGCCTGTGAAAACCTCTCCTTAGGCTGATGTTGTCAGAATCCTTCAGACTTTATCTAGCTCTGCTTCACATGCTTTATGTATGGCAGACAGGTAGCACAATTTAAAACAGGAAAATATAAAGGTCAACTCGATACACATCTCTCTTTGATGAAATGTTTGAAAAAAATGTCGACATAACATAGGAAAAGAAAAGCTCTGCAACAGCAACAGAAACTAGAAAACAAAGACACCATTTATCAGAAACAATCACCAAAGAAATAACCTTTGCAGTGTGTGGAGTGATAGATTTATAATAGGAAAACTCATTTGAACAAATTGAAATGACATAATATGAACAGTATGCTTCATTGCTTCTTACTTGTCTCAACCAAAAACTTGGAAGAACCTGAACAGTAAAGTAAAGGATATCTCTGTAATCCTACTTTTAAAAAGTGAACCTGGCAGATGCCAGTGGCTCATATCTATAATCTTAGCCATTCAGGAGGTGGAAATCATGAAAACCATAGTTCAATGCCAGTTCAGCCAAAAAGTTTGCAAGACTCCATCTCAACCGATGGCTTGGTGCAGGAGTATCCAATACTAGTGGCTGAGTTCAGGAGAACATGGTTCCAGATCACCTTGGGCAAAAATGTTCATGAGACCCTACCTCAACAGAAAGAACTGAGTATGGTGGTATATGTTTGTCATCCCATGTACAGTGGGAAATGGAAATAGGACGATCATAGTGTTGGGCTCAGTATGAGTCCAACAAACCTATGTTGCTAAAATCACAATGTACTATGCGAAAGAAGCAATCTAGTTTTGTAACAAAGAACTACAGGGTTTTCCTATTTAGATAAGGATGTTAGACACAAAAAAATAATTAGCACTGGGACTGTGGTGGCTCACCCCTATAAGCCTAGCTATTTAGGAGTCTGAGATCTGAGGATCATGGTTCAAAGCCAGCTCAGGTAGAGAAATCTGTGAGACTCCAAACTCCCAACAAATCACAGAAAAGGATGGAAGTTGCACTAGCCTTAAGCAAAAAGGGACAGCTCCCAAGCCCAGAGTTCAAGCTCCAGGATCAGCTAAAAAAAAAAGAGAATGATTAGCAGTATGAAATTTATGATAACAAGAAATCTACAACAATACTATATGCAGAAAAATCTTACCTAATAATCTTCTGGAAATGTGGTTAGTAGGATGGTACTTAACCTAAGAGCAAGAAGGTAAGGGATTTAAGCTAAAGACTTCTTTCAAACCTAACTTTCTCCAGAATACAGGACATAAGAAACAAGAAAAAAAAAATATGTAGACATTGAAATACCGTGGGAATCAACTAAGTTATTTTCTCATGATAGAGATTTAAGAACCTTTTCTTACAGAGCCTTTGTGACTTTTTACAATGCATCACAGTACTGTAGATGATCAACACACATTCTTGTTAAGGATACTCCTGTTTGGGCTTTACTTTATCTTTCAGAACCAAATTGGATGACTTATCCTGCTCCTTTTCATACTCCTTGAAATCACTCTTGGTGTATTTCCCACCTATTTATTAAGGTAAAAACAAAAGGTTAGTAAGAAATACCACATAGTTAATCAGGAAAACTGCTACTTTGTAAATGGTATATATTGGGGCATAGAAAAAGGGAAGAGAGGATTAAAAAAAAAAAAGAGAAAAAAAAGAAAAAGGGAAGAGAGAAGAATTATAGTGATCCAATCTCTACAAACATTTTCTGAAACCAGATGTCCATTTTGCTAGGTTGTCATATGCTGCCACCTAATGACTTACATGAACATTACATCAAATTTCAAATTTCACTCTAATACTGCAGTCTTTAAGCAATCATTAAGTCCATGAGAACATTAAGCCCAACAAAAAACTGACAATGTGGGCCAGGTACCAGTGGCTCATACCAACAATCCAGATACTCAGAAGGCTAAGATCTGAGGATGACATTTTGAAGCCAGCCCAGGCAGTAAAGCCAGTGAGACTCTTATCTCCAATTAAGTACCAAAAAAAAAAGCTGGAAGTGGAGCTGTGGCTTAAGTGATAAGAGCACTAGCCTTGAGCACAAGCTCAAGAATAGTGCCCAGGCCCAGAGTTCAAGGTGGCCCAAGACTGGCACAAAAAAAAAATCCAAACCCCAGAAACTTTATTAAAACCATAAGGAGGGGGAAAACAATGGAGGAGGTAACAATGCTCAATAGGAAGTGTACTCATTACCTTATTCATGTAACTGTAATCCTCTGTATAGTATCCTTACAATTTAAAAAAAAAAGAGAATGTCTAAGCAATAAACACATTAAAAAATGGAGGCAGAAAGGCCAAGCTTTCTTCCAAAAAAACAAAAAAACAAAAAAAAAAAACCATAAGGAATAAAGAAATGTGTGACAGGGGGCTGGGAAGGTGGCTCAGTGGTAGAGCGCTTGCCTTGCATGCATGAGGCCGTGGGTTAGATTCCTCAGCACCACATAAGCAAAAAGAAAAAAGCTGGAAGTGGCGCTGTGGCTCATGTGATAGAGCGCTAGCCTTGAGCTGAAGAGCTGAGGGACAGCGCCCAGGCCCAGAGTTCAGGCCCCATGACCGGACCAAAAAGAAAAGAAATGTGGGACATAAAAGAAAGCAATCCTAAAATTGCTAATAAAATTTAATATTACACATGAACAACTACCAAAATGAAATTCTTTAAAAACATTGCAACAAAAAGAAAAGGAAAACAATACTTGACTGAAGATATAGTTCCTTGGTAGGATACATACATGTTTAGCATATTTAGGCAGTACAAGAGATCCCTAAGTAGGGGCTGGGAAGGTGGCTCAGTGGTAGAGTGCTTGCCTTGCATGCATGAGGCCCTGGGTTCGATTCCCCAGCACCACATAAGCAAAAAGAAAAAAGCCAGAAGTGGCACTGTGGCTCAAGTGGTAGAGCGCTAGCCTTGAGCTGAAGAGCTGAGGGACAGCACCCAGGCCCAGAGTTCAGGCCCCACGACCGGACCCTCTCCCCAAAAAAAAAGATCTCTTAAGACACACTATCTAACAAAAAATGCAAGATAGAGAAAGAGTATCCTTTGTAGTTTCTTTCTCTTTTCTTGCTTTCTTTTTTTGCCAGTCCTAGGACTTGAACTCAGAGCCCAGGAGCTATCCCTGAGGTTCTTTTGCTCAAGGCTACCACTCTGTACTTGAGCCACAGTGCCATTTCTGGCTTTTTTTGTTTGTTTGGCTAGTCCTAGGACCTTTCTTTTTTTTTTTTGTCAGTTGTGGGGGCTGAACTCTGGGCCTGGACACTGTCTCTCAGCTCTTCAGCTCAAGGCTAGCGCTCCACCACTTGAGCCACAGTGCCACTTCTGGCTTTTTTCTGCTTTTGTGGTGCTGAGGAATCAAACCAGGGCCTCATGCATGCGATGCAAGCACTCTACCACTAAGCCAACTTCCAAGCCCTGTGGTTTCTTTTTTTTTTTTTTTTAAAGTTTATTCAGTTGTCTAATAGCCAGAGAGTCAGATATGGTTCCAATTTTTTTTTTTTTGGTCCAGTCATGGGGCCTGAACTCTGGGCCTGGGCGCTGTCCCTCAGCTCTTCAGCTCAAGGCTAGCACTCTACCACTTGAGCCACAGCGCCACTTCTGGCTTTTTTTTTTCTTTTTGCTTATGTGGTGCTGAGGAATCGAACCCAGGGCCTCAGGCATGCAAGGCAAGCGCTCTACCACTGAGCCACCTTCCCAGCCCCTGTGGTTTCTTTTTTAAAGGAGGAAAACAATCATGTATTTGTGTGTGTGTGTGTGTGTGTGTTCAAAGAATATGTGAAAAGTGATATAAAGTAACAGTTGAATACTGTCAAAATAGACTATTTCCAACTGTGAAAATAAATTAAGGAAACCTGTTAAGGACACTATTTTATAGAGGGAGAGGGATACATGAAGTATGATGGAGGGGTGAAATTGATTGGAATATAGTGTAAACATGTGGAGATGTAACAATGAAATCCCCTCCCCCTGTATAACTTATGTAAGCCAATTTAAAAAAAAAAAAAAAAAGAAGCTGGGTGCTGGTGCTAACACCTATAATCCTAGCTAGTCAGAAGGCTAAGATCTGAAGATTGTAGTTTGAAGCCAGATTGGGCAGGAAAGTCTGTGAGACTCTTATCTCCAATAAACTACTTAGAAAAAGCCAGAAGTGGCACTGTGGTTCAAGTGGTAGAGTGTTATCCTTGAGTACAATGAGGCTCAGAGACAACACTGAGGCCCTGAGTTTAAGCCCCAGGACTGGCAAAAAAGAAAAGAAAACAAACAAAAGTAAATTACCTTTGGAAAGAGAAACTGGGTACATAAGAAATAGCAATGAAGGAGACTTTTACATCTGTCTTTCATAGATTTCTTTTCAATGTTATATACCACATGACAACTACCACAGGCAAACTTGATTTTTTTTTTTTCCAGTCATGGGGCTTGAACATGGGGCCTGTGTGCTGTCTTTTGCTCAAGGCTAGAATTCTATTGCTTGAGCCACAGCTCTACTTCTAGCCATTTGGTTGGTTATTTTGAGATAAAAGTCTTGTGGAGGGCTGGGAAGGTGGCTCAGTGGTAGAGCGCTTGCCTTGCATACATGAGGCCCTGGGTTAGATTCCTCAGCACCACATAAGCAAAAAGAAAAAAGCCGGAAGTAGCGCTGTGGCTCAAGTGGTAGAGCGGTAGCCTTGAGTTGAAGAGCTGAGGGACAGCCCAGCGTCCAGGCCCAGAGTTCAGGCCCCACGACCGGACCCCCCCCCCCCCCCAAAAAAAAAAAGTCTTGTGGATTTGTCTGCCTGGGTTGGTTTCCAAGGGCTGGCTTCATACCTTGATCCTCAGATCTTAGCTTCTCTTAGCTTCTCGAGTGGCTAGGATTATAGTTGTGAGCCACTGACACTCAGCTGGTAGTTTAGTTTTAAAGTTGCAAAATCTAAAATTAAGTTTGGCTGGGTGCTGGCGGTCCATGCCTGTAATTCTAGCTACTCAGGAGGCTGAGATCTGAAGATCACAGTTCCTGCGGAGACAGGAAAGTCCATAAGACTCTTATCTTCAATTAACCACCAGAATACCAGAAGTGGAGGCATGACTCAAGTGGTAGAGAAATCAGCTGTGAATGGAAAAGCTAAACAAAAGCATGAGACCAGAGCCAGAGCATGAGACCCAGAGTTTGAATACTAGTACTGGCACCTAACTAAATAAATGAGACGGCCATAAAGTCAAATTACTTTAAAAACATATTATATGCAGTAATTGTAACTAATTTATAGTATAGACAAACATAGAAAATATAGGCACATACCTTAGAATCTAGATAGTATCCTTACAAAGTCATGGCAGGAGTAATATCTATTAACATTTCTCCTAATTAACAATACTAATCTAAGGGCATTTGCAAGCATGCAAAGAACAGCAATAAAACAAGATAAATCAACATACCTTTTCCTTTCCATTTAACCTTTGCAACAGACTGGCTAAAATCCACATGTATTCTTCTGTCATCTATAAGTACATTATCCATTTTGAAGAATGCTTTTTCACAATCTTCTTCCTGATAGTAATTATAAAAACTCAAGCATAATGTGTATGGAAAATATTTCTATAGCAAGAACAAATACTGAAAATACAATCTGTTGTTACTAAATTAATATTTGAGTATGTACTACACATAAGGTAGCACTAATGCTATGCACTTGTTATCTCAAGTCTGGAAACCATTCTGTTAGGTACTATCTATCATTATCTCCGCTTTCTCAATGGAAAAATAGCAGCTTAGTGGGCACAGTAGTAGCCAGAGTTGGTCATACAGTAGGCAAGGATGACAGACAGAATTTTGAATTGAGGCAGTCTGATTGAAGTAGATATACACATACTTACCAATTATGTTAACATGGGTCTATAATCCTTTTTACTCAAATCCAAAAATACTGTATCCTAAAAAGTGAAAGCTAATTGGGAAAGGAAGATCAGTGGGAGGGGAGACAAAGAAAGGTAATGGAGAGGAGTAAATTATAAGCCAACTACAGTATATACATGTGCAAAAATGTCATGATAAAATCTATTAAAAAACAATGTTGAAAATGAACTACACAACTTGTGCGCTGGGATGGGAGGGAAAAACTGGGAGAGCAAGGGAAGGGGTAACACTATCCAAGAAGAAATGTACTCTTTACCTGACTTCTATAACTACTTTGTACATCTTTTTTTTTTCTAAATTAGATGTAGGGTTTGAACTTAGGGCCTGAAGCCTGTCCCCTGAGCCCGTTTTTGCTAAAGGCTAGTGCTCTACCACTTTGAGCCACTTCTCATTTTCTGGTAGTTAACTGGAGATAAGAGTCTCTTTTCTGCTCGAACAGCGACCCTCAGATCTCAGCCTCCTGATTAGCTAGGATTACAGGCATGAGTCACTGGTGCTCCACAGTATACCATCTTTATAACATCAACAACAAAAAATCCACACAAAGCAAACTAAAGGAAAAATATCAAAATAAACATAAACACAAAGGCAGATACTCAGGCAAGGTGGCATGTACCTATAATCCAAACTATTCAGATGGCTAAAGAGAATCAGTTTGAGGTCAGCTTGGGCCTCAAAAAGAGCAAAGTTCTATCTCAAAAAACAAACGAACATAAACACCAAACCTAACAAACATACTTATGATATTTATGACATACCTTTTCAAATTCAATAAAAGCATAACAGAGGGACTCTCCTGTTTTCCAATCCCGGATAACTTCACAACTAAAAGGAAAATTTTTTTAGTTACTTAAAGAATAAACAATTCACTCACATTCTTCAAAAACTGAAGAATAAAATAAGCTGGTTATTAAAAGGCGACGTTAATAAGAGTGCCTTGCTAGGTAGGCACTTCCTTTTGCTCTTGTTCTCACTCAGAGCTCCCTTTTCCTTTTCTCCTCTCTGCCTCCTTTTCTCCTTTCCCCTCTCTCTCCTTTTCTTTCTTCTTCCTCTTCCCTCCTCCCCACCCCCCTCTAACTAGAACTCTCAGTCAGGACCTAGAGCTCTCACTCAGCTTGCTTGCTGAAGGCTACTACTTCAACCACACCTCCTACTGTTTGTTAGCTAATAGGAGATAGGGTCTCTTAGACATTTTAGCCTGAGCTGACTTTGAACTGAGATCATCTCCACATCTCAGCCTCCTGAACTAGGAGCTACCAGCACCTGGCATGCTTTCACTATTTTTCAAATAGGATCTTGAGTTTATGCTGGGGGTGTGGATCACCATCTTTCTGTTTAGGCTTCCCACACAGCAGGGATGTGTGATCACATTTTGAGTTTGTGATCACTCAGCTCTTATTGACTGATATAGGCCTTTTAAACTTTTTTCCCTCAGGCTAGGTTGGAATTGTGATGCAGGTGTGAACCACAGGGCCTGGCTTCTCCAAATCTTTTGAAAAATAATACTTTAAAAGAAAACAGTCAGGCTGGGAAGGTGGCTCAGTGGTAAAGCGCTTGTCTTGTATGCATGAGGCCCTGGGTTCGATTCTTCAGCACCACATAAGCAAAAAGAAAAAAAGCCAGAAGTGGCGCTGTGGCTCAAGTGGTAGAGCGCTAACCTTGAGCTGAAAAGCTGAGGGACAGCGCCCAAGCCCAGAGTTCAGGCCCCACAACCTGACCCAAAAAAAAAAAGAAAACAGTCATAAGCCACGATGCTGGTGAATCATGCTAGGGCTTGATTCTGAGCTTATTCTGAGTCTGAGGAGCTCACTCAGTTCAAAAGCTGGGAGCATAAGGCCCTGAGTTCAGCACACCGCACGCACGCACGCACGCACGCACGCACACACACACACACAGAGGAGGGAAGGGAAGGGTAGAGGGGAGGGGAGAGGAGGGAAGGGGGAGAAGGAGGAGAGGGAAAGGGCTCCATCAAATAGAGGGAAAGAACTGCCTTAACAGGTGAATGAGGACAAATATAGTCTAAGGATTTTACACAAATGTATAAAATAAAACAATAAAACCTGTTCCTTTTTTTTCTGGGGTAGGAGTTGTGCTGGTGAGCTTTTGTACTTAAGGTTAACGCTCTACCACTTGAGCCTCAACTCTACTTTCTGGCTTTTTTGGAGATTATCTGGACATAAGAATCTCATAGTTCCTGCCTGGGCTGGCTTCAAAATGTGATCCTCACATCTCAGCCTCCTGAATAATGAAGATTACAGGCATGAGCTACCAATTCCAGCTTGAAATTGTTTTTAAAAAGGGGGATAGAAGGGGCTGGGAAGGTGGCTCAGTGGTAGAGTGCTTGCCTTGCATGCATGAGGCCCTGGGTTCAATTCCCAAGCACCAATAAACAGAAAAAGCCAGAAGTGGCGCTGTGGCTCAAGGGGTAAAGAGCTGAAGAGCTGAGGGACAGCGCCCAGGCCCAGAGTTCAGGCCCCTCAACTGACAAAAGAAAAGGAGGGGAGTGGGAGAAAGGAGATAAGATTAATCAGGATATACTGTAAACATGTGGAAATGTTACAATGGAATCTCCCTTGTATAAGTAATGCATATTTTAAAAAAAAACAACTGCTTTTCAGCACAGTGCCAGAGGTTCACACTATAATCCTAGTTACTCAGAAGGATGAGATCTGAGGATCTCAGTTCAAAATCAGTCCAGGCAGACAAATCCAGAAAGGCTCCTATCTGTAATTAACTAGTAAAAAGTCAAAAATGGAGGTGTGGTTCAAGTGGTAAAGCACGAGCCTTGAGTGAAATAGCTAAGGGAGAGAGCTTGGGCCTCAGTTCAAACTAAGACACACACAAAAAAAAGTTTAACAAGAAAAGAAAATCATCTGTCAGTGCTGGGGACATGGTTCAAGTGGCAGAGTATCTGTCTAGTAAGCCCAAGGCACTGAGTTCAAACTCCAATACTTAGAGAGAGGGAGAGAAAGAGAGAGAGAATACAACCAATTCAAACAAAGGTATAGCTAAAAAAATTCTCACTACTTGTAGGGATTACCTTCTTATTGGCCCAAATCTTGAGAATATTATTTCCAGATCCTCATCTGTAGTCACTGGGTTCAGTTTACACACAAATAGCACATTTTCTGGAGGTTTAATATCTGCATCAGGTAGGTCTCCCACCTATATAAACAGTGACACAAGTCAATTTTTTTATTTAGCTTCCATTCAAAATACCTTATCTAAGTAGAGCATTTGCCTAGCATGCCCAGGTGTTCTGGGCCTGGTCCATAGCATGTACCTGCACAGGAAGAGGAGGAAGATGTGTACGTCTGCGGATGTGACATCTAGGAAGGACTCACATGCCTTAGCTTTGGCTGTAGGTACATCACCATAATCAAACCATGAGGCAACAGGCAAAAAAACTAAACTAAATATAGTTTAGAGTACTCAATTTCAATCCAGGTTTACCTTTAACTACTATTCTATTATTTAATCTCAACAATTAAGTAGCACAATGAAGAATTATTCGTTAACATACATAAAATTCAGGCTAATAAGCCCTCAAAAACTGAGTTGAATAGGGCTGAGAACATGGCTCTAGTGTTACAATGCCTGCTTATCAAGCACAAAGCCCTGAGTTCAAACCCCAGTACCACCAAGGAAAGCCACATTAAGCAATTAAAATTCAGCTAATAATTATAAATTAGATATCCACATTCCATGTTTAAGAAGGCATTTGGCAACATACTGATAATGGAACCAAATTTGTTGGCTTTTTTTTTGTCTTTCTGTGTGTTTTGTTTTGTACCATTACTGGTTAGGGCCTTGAGCTTTCACTTGACCTTTTTGATTACAACTGGTACTACTCTACCACTTGAGCTATACCTCTGCTTCCTGGCTTTTTGCTGGTAAATTAAAGAGTCTCTCATATTTATCTGCCTGGGCTGGCTTCAAACTGCATTTCTGAGATCTGAGCATAAATTATAGGCATTATGAATTATAGGCATGAGCCCACTGGTGCCAAGCTCAAGTTTATTATTTTCACGTTATATGATATTAAACTTAATTTTAAAAAATTCTCTTCATTGACATTTTAGTACTTTTAGACTATCACAAGAGCCAAAAAATAGAGAGATCCAGAATAAGAATGTGATAAATACGTTATAAAACAAATATCTGGGCAAAGATAATTTATCTTACCATCTCTAAAAGAATAGCTTGTGTTTTGGCCTCTTTTTCTGCCTTTATTTCTTCTACTTCCTCAGCTGATCTTCCCTTGAAGTCATCAATTTCTTCATCTGCTCCTATTCGACCACTCTATACGGTACAAGTCATTGATATATTTAAAAGATTACAATATAAGAGAAACATGGAAGACATTAAATTTTAGTCTTAGTTTTACCAAACATGTTAGAATATCCAGCAACTGAAACAAACCTTAAACTGACTTAAATTAATTCCATAATATTAGCCAGATTGAGCTTAGCTCATACTATAAAATCAAAATAAATACTTACATAGACATTACTATTCTCCAACTAATGCTAAATGGGAAAGAAAATCTTAGAGTCAAGCACCCATCTCAATCATAAATTCAGCTTTGAGGAAGCCTCAAAAGCAGAAATTTATACCTCAAAATATCTGGAAGAACAGTCTGTGCTAGTCCACAGAAATTTCTGGGTTCGGGGCTGGGAAGGTGGCTCAGTGGTAGAGCGCTTGCCTTGCATGCTCGAGGCCCTGGGTTCGATTCCTTAGCACCACATAAGCAAAAAGAAAAAAGCCGTAAGTGGCGCTGTGGCTCAAGTGGTAGAGCGCCAGCCTTGAGCTGAAGAGCTGAGGGACAGTGCCCTGGCCCAGAGTTCAGGCCCCACGACCGGACCCCCCCAAAAAAAAAAAAAAATGTCTGGGTTCTAGCCTGGTTCCAGAAGATGCCCAGATGAAAAGTATCCCCACAGCATGACAGTTTAATCTGGCCTTGAAGCTAGTCTCCCAACTAGGTTAGGTGATAATAAAATTTATTCCAAGGTGTTGTTCATATAAGCTTCCAGAACTAAGACTGTTCGGTAGGATAGAAACTAAGAAAAGAAATTAGGGAAAAGAAAAGTTAAAAAAAAACAAAAACAAAAAAACTTGCTCTAGTATAACTGAACAAGAAAATGCTTACGAAGAATTTTGATAACTCATACAGACATTACTACTTATGGAGAAACGAGTTTTGAAAGATCAGTAAGCCAAACTCACACAGACATTACTATTATGCATGTACATTCTAATCGTAAGCCAGTCTACTTACGTCTAACTGTTCCCTTGTGGGTTCTGGTGATCGATCAGGAATTAATAAATCAGGAGGGTCATCAAATGGATCATCTAAAATCACTGTATGATTTATCCTTACAAAATAAATCCAAATCAAATGTTAACATTTAATTCATCTTAGAACCTATATCTTACCTTCACAAATTATAACAAACAACTTAAGAATTTCTAATGCCAAAGAAAACTTATATTACACAAGGTATTAGTGGTTATACTTTTATAATGAGTGCTACTATTTTTCATTGTTTGATATTGAGTTATTATTGTGCATTACTTTAAAATATGTCTTGGGCTGGAAAGGTGGCTCAGTGGTTTGCCTCGCATGCCCTGGGTTCGATTCCTCAGCACCATACACACAGAAAAAGCCGGAAGTGGTACTGTGGCCCAAGTGGTAGAATGCTAGCTTGAGCAAAAGCAGCTCAGGGACAACACCCAGGCCATGAGCTCAAGCCACAGGACTGGCAAAAAAATGTCCAAATCTTAGTACTTTTGCCCTATTTCTTAGTATTCTGCATTAAGCACTAATAGTCCTCCCAACATTAACCAACTGTAAATTATTAGTACAAGTATCCTTTTTATAAGAATTCTTATCATTTGTATTAAGTCATATTTTGAAATTATACATTATTCTATGCATATGAATTTCACTGATACCTCTACCAGTGAACCACCACAGTACTCAACATTCTAGTATGTTCAAGATAATAAATTGTGCTCATACCTGATATCTTGGTAAGGTACAAAATCCTTGTCAACAAAGGTCTCATTAATTTTCTTGACTATGTCCATGCCTTCTGTCACCTCCCCAAACACTGTATGAACACCATCAAGGTAATCTAGGTTTTCTCCTGTAGTAATAAGAAACTATACAAGAAGACACAGAATAAACATAATTGTAACTGAAAATCACTGAAGACTATCAAAACTACACAAGTGACTCTAGCTTTACTATACCAATTCTTATACTTGTTGCTAGAACTAAGAGCTATGGAACTCATTTATACAAACACCAATATGTACACAGATGCCCCTATAGTCTAAAATACTTGAACAAACCATAGCTCCATTTCTGAGTTGAACAGAATAATCAACAAAAAGTACAAGACATATGTTTTATAACAAGTAATAAATACTGGAAGGAAACAGGCTACAAAGTAAACAGTGATAACCATGGATGACAGGATTATGGGTATTAATACTTTCTTCTTTGCAGTTTTCTGTATTTTCTAAATCACTCACAATGGCCCAGGTATAGTGGCATAAGCCTGAAATGCTACCTTCTTGGGAGGCTGAGCTGAGGATATTGCTATTCGAGGCCAGAACAAACCTCAACTCCATCTTGATCAAACATTGGGTGTAGTTGTACATGCCTGTTATCACAGCTACGATGAGGTTTAGTGGCAACACAGCTCTTATCACCAGTGACATGGGAAAGAACAAGTGTTAGGATAACAGTCCAGGCCAGCCCTAAGCATAAAACAAGACACTACCTCAACAAATAACCAAGAATTATTCCTCACTGTATTAGAAAAGCCAATCCAAACATTCAAGTGGAAACATAAAAGACCACGAATAGCAGAAATTCTAAGTAAAGGAGCACTACTGGAAATATCACACTAGCAGATTCTAAATTATACTACATAGCCATAGTAACAAAACCAGACCTGAAAACCAACAGAACAGTATAGAAAGACCCAATTAATCAACAAAAAGCAGTATAGCTGTGGCTCAAATGGTAGAGGGCTAGCCTTAAGCAAAAAAGATAAGGGACAGGGCCATGTTGAGTTCAAGCCTCAGTATTGGTGTGTGCAGACCACAGAGAGAGAGAGAGAGAGAGAGAGAGAGAGAGAGAGAGAGAGAGAGAGAGAGAAATAAACTCCAAGTCAGGCACCAATGGCTCACACCTCTAGCTACTCAGGAGGCTGAGATCTGAGGATCGTGGTTCAAAGCCAGCCCAGGCAGGAAAGTCTATGAGACTCTTACCTCCAATTAAACCACCAGAAAACTGGAAGTGAAGCTGTGACTCAAAGTGGTAGAGCACTAGCCTTGAGCAAAAAAGCTCAGGGACAGCACTCAGGCTCTGAGTTCAAGCCCCATAACCAACCAAAAAATAAATAAATAAACTCAAAATGGATCAAAGGTAAGACCTGATACTTTAAATTTGCTTCAAGAAAATATGGGGAAAACCTTAGAAGTTATAGGCATATATCCTGAATAAGACTACAACTTCCCAGAGGAAGAGAACAAAGACTGGCAAATGAAACTATAATTAAACTACATAGTTTCTATATAACAAAAGAAAAAACCACCTGAACTAAAAGACAACCCATGAAAGAAAATCTTTGGTTATTCAACTGACAAAGGATTAATAACCAAGCATTCAAAGAACTCAAAAAAGTAAAACAGCAAATGAATAATCCAGTTTATAAATGAATAAAAGAAATGAACAGACAATTCTCAGAAGAAGAAATACAAATGGCCAATTGACACATGAAGAAATGTTCAGCATGATTAGCCATAAAGGAAATACAATCAAAACCACATTAAGATTCCATTTCACAGCCGGGCGCTGGTGGCTCACGCCTGTAATCCTAGCTACTCAGGAGGCTGAGATCTGAGGATCACGGTTCAAAGCCAGCCCGGGCAGGAGAGACCGTGAGACTCCGATCTCCAATAAACCACCAGAAAACCGGAAGTGGCACTGTAGCTCAAGTGGTAGAGTGCTCGCCTTGAGCTGAAGAGCTGAGGGAGAGCGCCCAGGCCCAGAGTTCAAGCCCCACGGCTGACAAAAAAAAAAAAGATTCCATTTCACCCCAGTTGAAATAGCGATTATCAATAGCTATTGGTGCAGGGGATTGTAAACTAGTGTGACCACAATGGAACTTATGTAGAGGTTCTTCCAGAAACTAAAATTAGACTATCTTTATGACTCTATCATACAATTATTGGGTATATATGTCAAGAAGAATAAATCAATATATACCTATTAATACCTATGTTTATCACAACACTGTTCACAATACCCAAAGGATGGAATCAGCCAAGGTGCCCCAAAACAGATAAAGAAGTGTGTGTGTGTACACATACACACACAATGGAATATTACATATCATTTTTTTTCAAATGATGTCATTTGGAAAAAAAGTATGGAATTAGAGGACAACTTCTTCTTTTTTTTTTTTCTTGTCAGTCATGGGGCCTGAACCCTGGGCCTGGGCACTGTCCCTCAGTTCTTCAGCTCAAAGCTAGTGGCTCTACTACTTGAGCCATAGCATTACTTCTGGCTTTTTTCTGCTTATGTGGTGTTGAGGAATTGAACCCAGGGCCTCATGTATGCAAGACAAGCACTCTACCACTGAGCCACATTACCAGCCCCAAGGACAACATATTATGTGAGACAAGACAAGCTCAAAAACCAAGATACCCATTGGGTTGGGAGGGATGGGAGGAGGGGACAATGATGAAAGAAGTGACATCCATTAAACAATTACACTTATAAACTGATTTGTTGAATGGCTACTTCTTTAGAGTGCTTGCCTTGCATGCCTGAGGCCCTGGGTTCGATTCCTCAGCACCACATAAGCAAAAAAGAAAAAAAGGCCGGAAGTGGCGCTGTGGCTCAAGTGGTAGAGCGCTAGCCTTGAGCTGAAGAGCTGAGGGACAGCGCCCAGACCCAGAGTTCAGGCCCCACGACTGGACCCAAAAAAAGTAAAAAATAAAAAATAAAAATATGATTTAAAAAGATATTCTATATTTAGACATCATATGTGGAAGCTAGACTTAAAAGACATACATATTCATGAATATATATGCATATACATATCTGTATACATATAATTATTTTTATATATATATATATATATATATATATATATATACATGTAAGTATTACAATGAAATGCTCCCTAATGCATAACTAACATATGCCAATTAAAAAAACAGCTACTAGGAAACTAAGGCAAAAGAAGACTGGGCATGGCTTAAGTGGCTAAGTGACTGCCTTACCAACATGAGACTTCACTCTTTAAAAAAAAAAGTATTCACAATGGAAGTAGTTTATATTTAAGAGGACAAAATCATGTGTGTTGCCTGGTCTTGTGCTAACGTTTGCACTTTACCACTGAACAACATCATAGCCCTTTTTTTAAATACAGAAAAAAAGCAGTACTTTTTTTTCCTCCCAATGCCTTTGCTTACATTATTTTATTACTGAATAGGTTAAAAAAATAACTTCATGGTCCCTTCTAGTCCATTTCTAGGCAAAATTCAGGAAATGGTTCCTAACCTGAGAACCATGCTGACCGCTGCCATTGTTCACCATGGATACAGTGCCTTTCTTCTTGTGCTTAATTCTTGGCACTTTTTCTGCCTCAAAGAAGCTTGCTTGATCACCATATAGTTGTCTGAAAATGTAAAGTTACAAAACCTAAGTCCTCTTAAAATGAAACACAGAGGTGCTATAACACAGATAGTTTCTTTATAGAAATGCAAGTATGATTCAAAACACTGCTCCTGCATGAGCCACCAGCAGCTGCTTCTCTCCTCTTTTTTAATGTAGACTTTGTAGAAACTAAATTTGAAAAAACCATACACTTGAACCATCTTTTGAAATGAAAACTGAACCTGGGTATGATGGCATATGCCTAGAATATCAGCACTTGGAAGTTTGAACTGGGAAAATTCAAAGTTCTAGGCCATTCCATGCTATACAATGAGATCCTATTTCAAAAAACTAAAGTAAAATAATAGATTTAACCATGAGTATTTCTATTCTTCTTCATTTAAAAATAAAAGAACATCTTATAGGCCCGGAACTGATGGCTTATGCCTGTAATCCTAGCTGTTCAGGAGGCTGAGATGTGAGGATCACAGTTTGAAGCCAGCTAGGGCAGGAAAGTACATGAAACTCTTATCTTCAATTAACCACTAAAAAGCTGGAAGTGTAGCTGTAGCTAAAGTGGAAGAGGCTAGTCTTGAGCAAAAAAGCTAGAGGAGCATGCTCAGCTTAAGCCAGTTCAAGCCCCAGTACTGGCACCAAAACAAAAAAGAACTTACCCAAAAATAGATTCCCCTCCACGGCCAGTCCCTGTAGGATCACCAGTTTGTATGATGAAATCTCTCTAAAATAAACAGGATTTTTGTTAATTCATAGTTTGCTAGATGGATTTAAGAACTAAAGATATGAATAATATTCACAACTCACCTGTACATTGTGAATAAGGCAATAGTTGTAATATTTCATTTTGCATAACTTCAAGAAATTCAAGCAGGCTAAAAGAAAAAAAAATATTGTGGTAATCCACAAATTCAGTTTTATACAAATAAAAACAGTTAGTATGAAACAATCTCTCAATTCCTGTTTTTAAAAAATGAAAAAGAAAAGGAAAAACAACCAAGTAGCAAAAGCTATAAATAAAATAAAAAGGACAAACCTTAAACAGACAATATATTTTAGATGGGGGTGCGAGTTTTGTGTGTATGTACACGCGCATGTACACATATGAGCACTAGTCCTGAGGCTTGGGTCCAGAGTCTAGCCACTATCCCTGAGCCTTTTTGCTCAATGCTAGTGCTCTACATCTTGAGCCACAGCTCCATTTCTAGCTTTTTAAGTCGTTTATTGGAAATAGGAGTGAGTCTCATGGACTTTCCTGCCCAAGCCGGATTCAAACCAAAATCCTCAGATCTCAGCCTCCTGAGTAGCTAGAATTACAGGCATGAGCTGCTGATGTTGTGGGTTTAAAATTTTTTTTTCTTAGAACCTTTTGGACATCTGCGCTAATAATGCAGAGTATTAACATTTGGGATAAGAATCCTTTATTGATGGATTAATTTGATGAAATATATATATCACAATGATATATATATATATCACAATGTTCAAATGAGAAATTGTTTCTAGCTTAGGAAGTTCATGTAGGCTTAGGGTAAACATTAAAAGAACTGGTTTGTATCATATCATCACATGGCACATCATAAATATGTATAATATTATGAGTCATTTAAAAATAAATATACAAAAAAAGAGAGACCAGTTACCAGTAGTTCATGCCTGTGATTCCAGCTACTTGGGAGGCCCACAGCTGGGAGCAGTGGTATGCAAATGTCACTCTAAGCTATGTGAGAGGCTGAGATTGGGAGAATCAAGACTCCAGGCCTGCAGGAAAGCCTGTGGAACTCCATCACCATAAAGGGAAACTAGACACACAGTGCCTGTCATCCTAGCAACTACAGGGAGACTAAATAGCCTGCAGTCCGGGGCCACATTTATGTACTGAGGCTTTATCCTAAAAATAACCAGCAAAAATACAGGGCTGGAGGTGTGGCCAGCAGTAGAGAAAGGGCTAGCCCAGCAATAATGAGGCCCTGAAATCAAATCCAAGAAATTATAAAGCTCTGAGATCAGAAACAAGAAGGAATGAAAGAGAAGATGGTACGAAAAAAGTCTCACCAGGTGCTTGATTCTAATTTAAATGATCACATTTTAAAATGTTTATGTTTAACTGATACTAAGGAATTGTTAATTCCTCAGTGTGATAATGATTTGTGGTTTTGTATAAAAGATGGCTATCTTTTAGATATATACACTGAACTAATCCCCTCCCACACAAATAGGGCTTAAATGCAGAGCCTCAAATTGATTCAGTTTGCTTGTTCATTGGGGGGCACCCTACCACTTGAGCCACACCTCCAACATGGCTTCTTGTGGTTACTTTAGAAATAAAATCTCAGAGCCTGGCTGGCTTAGAACTGGATCTTAGCCTCCTGAGAAGTTAGGATTTTAGACATGAGCCACTTGCTACTGGCCTGAAGTAATTTTTGATTAAATAAAGCCAGGGCAGGTGGGGTATTATATGTGAAACAAAACAAGATTGGCCAAGTGTTGACAATTGCTAAATGAAGCTGTTTACAGATATATACATGACTCTCTCTGGTCTCCTTCATCTCCCACGTGATATGTATACACACAGACACACAGACAAAGAGCTGCCTATTGTCCCCAAACCATCATGCTTGCTTCTAAAACCTTCAAAGACTGATCGTTTGCAGAGCACACGAGACCTAACAGTATCTGACCAGGCTCAAACGCCATCATTCCACCCTATACACCCGCTCCTCCGTCGTCCTTATAACCATGCCAAAGTACTTTGCGTTTCCAGAAAACCTAAGCAAACCACTAAGAAACTTTAATTCCATTCGTCGGTTCAAGAGCGAGTTCAAGAGTTCCAGTCTTTCCTTGCTGTGCTTCTTCTCACCCTCACTAGGGACGAATAACTCCCGTGTGTTTCCATAGCAACTTACACATCCTCCTACCACACAATTCACAGTACAGGTAGGCTTTCGCCACGATCACAAAAATGAGACCTTAAGGCTTAGCCCCGGGACTGGCAGGCTCCGTCCTCACCGGCGGCCGCCCCCTCCCTTCTTCCATCCCGGCGGGATGCTGCGCCACGTTCATCCTACCAGCTTCCATCGAGCCATAACTGATTAGTAACTGATTAAGCGTATCTGTCGTGCTCCCTACCCGAGTAAAGCCACAGAGATCACCGCATTCGCACACAGAGCCGCCCCCCCCCCCCCCGCACTCCTAAGGGCAATGGATGTCTGCTGCACCCGCCACTCAACTGGCCCACACAGGATGCAGGCGAAGGGTTGTTCAGACTCGATTACGTTCTCACACAAACTTTCCTAACCACAGCCCGTTCATGAAACAGCGGTGGCGGGCACCGAAAGCTCGAGCCGAGGGCCACCCGGAGCGGCGCAGAGAAGGGACAGTGAGGACGCGAACTCGTGGCCCAGAGCCGGGTGGGCAGGGCGAGGGCCTCACCGCGCGGCCGCTCCTCCGTGTACAAGTCGATGACCACGTCTCCCAGAGTGGTCTCCAACAGAACCGCCATGGCGCCGGGCTCTCCACAGCAAGTCCGGGACGCGGGGGTGACAGGCGCAGCCCTTCGTCGCTCACGCCGGCGTCAGCCTCCACGCGACGCACGTTTGCGTCATCTTCCGGCGCCCCTCCGCGCGGTTCCGGAACTCTCCTTCCGGCTAGCCGGGTCAGTGCCGCCCCCTGACTTCCGGCGGCTGCAGCCTTGGCGCGTACATTTGAAATAGGGATGTCGGAAGGGATTCTGCTGGAAACAGACTTCACCCTCCCTTACTACCTTTTCTTATGTATGTACCTTGGACACTTACACAACACATACCACTAGTATAAACTCTTCAGATCCATATGTGTCTTGTTTTCTGACATCCATTTCAGAGGGGATATTGGAGTTTGAACTCAGGGCCTTGAGCCACACCTGCAGGTTTGGTTTGGCTTTGGCTTTGTTCTCCCCCGCCCCTCCCTTAAGTTTTTTTTCTAAGTATGGTCTCCTGCTTTTTGCTGGAACCATGAGTCTTCTGATCTTCACCTACTGAGTGGCTGGGACTACAAGAGTGTGTCACCATGCCAGGCCTAGATTCATGTTTAGTTCCAGAAGACCAAAACAGTGAAAAAGCCAATGGTTGCAAATAGAATCCAAAAGTGGTTGGGGCTTCGTTAGTAACTTGTAAGAAATGATGTAGAATAGGCAAGAAGTTAGTTGAACAAGTGAATTTTTGGCTAAACCTTTTAAAACAGGCATAGGGGAGGAAGATCAAGTAAAAGGGACTTCAAAGAGAATGTGTGTATGTGTGTGTGTGTGTGCGCGCGCGCGCACACACGTGTACCAGTATTGCAACTTGGACTCAGGGCTAGGTTAACACTCTACCACTTGAGCTACACCTCCAGTTTTGGCTTTTTGAAGCTTAAATTGGAAGTCTCACAGATTTTTCTTTTGGGGCTGGCTCCAAACTGCCATCCTTAATATCTTAATATCAAGGAGTAGCTTGAGCCACCAGCACCTGGCTTGCAATTTTTTGTTGCAATTTTTTGGGCTTAGGCTTGGGAATCTGTCCCTGCGCTCTTCAGACTCAAGGCGGCAGGCGCTCTATCGCTTGGGCCACAGTGCCACTTCTAGTTTTCTAGTGGTTTATTGGAGAGAAGAGACGCTTGGAGTTTCCTGCCCGGACTGGCTTTAAACCATGATCCTCAGAACTCAGCCTCCTGAGTAGCTAGGATTACAGGCTTGAACCACTGGCGCCCCGGCTACAAGGTTTGTTTTTTTGTTTTTGTTTTTTTTTTAATGTTAAAAGTTGTATATTAAAGAAAGACTATGAGTCAAATGGCTGGTATCTCATGCCTGTAAATCCTAGCTATACAGACTGAGATCCAAACTGTCGTGGTTTAAAGCCATCCATGCCAGGAAAGTCCTCAAGACTCCATTTTCAAAATAACCAGCAAAAAGACAGTCTGGTGGTTTGGCTCAAGTAATAGAGCTCTAGCCAAGCAAGCTCAGCAAACGTGAGGCCTTGAGCTCAAACCCCTGCAGAGCCAAAAAAGAAAATGGTAGTTATTCTGTCTGAACGGATATATCTCTTAAAGTTCTTATAAGTCAGTATAAAATCCTGTTAATAGAAAATGCCCGAATTTTTGGATAACCACTGCTTAGCCAGTTTCATAATAGTCGAAATGGAAAGGTGGAAGATGCCTACACTTCCATTTTCATTTCGATTAGGATTATTTCACAGAAAGGCGCCTAGATCCTGAGGGGTTGGCTTCCAGTTGAGGGCGAGGTCTTCAGGCAGCCGCCCCGTGGCTGGCTGACCTGGACACATTAAGGCGTGGCTGGTCGTCTAGTTTGATTATACAATAAGCTGTGTGTGTGCTGGGGGGCGGGAACCAAGGATTTTGAAACTGTGGCTGTCTCAGGACAGCCCAGATACATTAAATTACAAACTTGGGTTCCCAGGAGGACGTCCGTAGTTTTTAAATTCCTTCTAGCCATTTCCACTAGCAGCCGGGCACGGGAACTAATTTTAAAAAAAAGTTCTGAAGGTCATGGTAAGCAAAGTAACCCAGATTCAAACGTTGATAAAGTTTTTCTCCTGTGGAATCCAGGGAGGGGGAATGAAAGTGGATCGTTGGGGGAAGAGGAGAGGGGTCGCTGAGGAGGAAGAGCAAGGAAGGAATGAGTAAAATGCATTCCAGGCACAGATGAAAATGTCATAATGGTGCGACATTATTTTGGAAGAGGTAAAGATTTCCCTCGAAATGTTAAATGTTTTGTTTCTAATGAAGGAGTGCTCTGAAGGATTTTCACTTTGTAGACCGACTTTCGCCGGCATTTGGCAGTGGAGGTCTCCAGTGCTTTGGGGTGCCTAAACACCGCCACGCCACGCCCCCAACCTTGACCCCGCCCCTTTCTGCAGGTGGTGCGGCGAGAGCAACCAATTGCGCCTGCGCAGCCCCTGGGAAGACCACGCCCTTCCTGTGGCCACGCCCCTTGAGGTCCGCCTGCCCCGTCCCGCGCTGGCTCCGCCCTCTCCTTCCCTGGCTCTCAGCCCTGGAGTGGAAGATGGACGGGGGTCCGCAGACTTTGCTGGCCCTCCTGCGCCTGCTGTTCCTGGCGCTGCCGGCCGTCGGGTGGCTAACAACCGGCACCCCCTCGCCGCCTCCATCGGAAGTCCCGCAGGTAGGGAGGGCGAGGGGCGCTGCCACCCCTCCGAGCGGCCGGGTGGTCCGCAGGGCACCCCTTACCTCGCGCCGACGCGCAGCCGCAGAGGACTCGGGGTCCCGGCCCCCCCGGAAAGAACGGGACCCGCACTCAGGAGATGGGGCGGCGTGAGAGGGAGTGGCGGGAAGGTAAACGAGAAAGGACCGACCGGGCCCCTAGACGTGTGGCTGAACTGAGGGCCACGAAACTTGAGGCGTTCCCAGTGGGGCCCAAACTGTTGCTTGCTTGGGCTTTAATGTCACAAATACGCGATCCCCAGTGACCCCGGGCTTTTGTAATGGCGCCTTCCTGGGCTAGAGCCTGACACACTTGGGCCCAGCACTGTTTGTGTGCCGGGTAATGTGGAAGTTGCCCAATTGGAGAGTGCTTTTCCAGGCTGGGCGGGGGTGGACAGGCAGCGGGGCGCCTCGGAGAAGGACCGAGGCTGTGGATCAGGACCTTCTCCACTTGTCTGGTGGGGTTTAAAGAAGTGGTCCTTGGGTGTGGAAGGGAGGAACAGCGTCCGATAGCCTTGGAACTCTGTTTGGCCCCTCTGGGCGGAGTCCAGAGTGTGTTTCCACTACCCCGCCAAGGTGGCACTGTAGCTAAGTGAAGTATGAATTGCATCACAGTGTTCACAGACAGTTGAAGGCTGTTCTTATCTTTTATGATAGTGCTTACCTTTCTTCTGTTACATGGTAGGGAAGAGTTTGACATTTAATTTTTTTGTGTGTCAGTACTTAGGGCCTTGACCTAGCCCTTACCTTTTTTTTAAAAACTCAATAAAAAATGTATTATAAAACAAACTTATTTGAAAGGAAAAGAACTGAGCTATTGTCAAAGTGTGAAATGCATACTCGTTTAATTTATATATTTATTTTGCAGGATGGCATAAGAATTAATGTAACTATCCTGAAAGATGATGGAGAAGTATTTAAAGAACAGGTTTGTCTCCCCTTGATTAGGTTTTTAAATGTTTCATTTAGCCAAGTGGTATACAATTTGCTATAGTGATTCTCTTAGCCCACTTTTTGTTACTATAACAAAACAACTGAAGCAAGTTTATATTTAGCTTTCAGTTCTGGAGGTCCAAAGGCAGGTTGCTAGCATTAACTTGGCTCAGGTGAAAGCCTCCTGGCAGGTGACATCGCAATAGCAGGAGCACCTTGTGGGAACAGATTACTTTGCCAAATAGGAATCCAGAGAGGGACTGGGTCTCACAGTTCCCTTGAGGGCATGTTCCCAGTCACTTAAGGATCTCCTTCTAGCCCTGCATCTTAAAGGTCTGACCACCTTAGTACCTCCACACTGAGAGGCCCAAGCTTCCAGTACTGATCTCCTTGGAGTACAAACCACATCCTCACCATAGCACCTATACCTCTAACTTAGTAAGATAATATATTGACATGAAAAATTTGTCATCATTTATAAGCCATTTGAATTAATATATGTGCTGCTTTATTTTAAGGTTGTTCTTAACATAACCTATGAAAGTGGACAAGTATATGTAAATGATGTACCTGTAAATAGTGGTGTAAGTCGAATAAGCTGTCAAACTTTGATAGGTAAGTACTATCCAAATCAAAATTTTCAAATTTTCTCCTTTTTTCAAAATAAGTTCTGTATTTCCATTTTAAAATAATAATATGTATCATTTCTATAGCATATGATATTTATGTGTTTAAAGCTCTTTATATTGGTTAGTGGCAAATTTGGGGGGGGGGGATTGGCATTGATTGATGGAATGACAGGCACTCTGATCATCGGTGTCACTGAAGATTCTGCATTATAGATGGAAAGCAAGAGCCAAAATCTTGGACAGGGGTGGAAAATAGAAAGTGAAGTGGCCAGGCACTGGTGACTCATGCCTGTCATCCTAAGTACTCAGGAGGCTGAGATCTCAGGCTTGTGGTTTGAAGCCAGCCTGAGCAGACAAATCTTATCTCCATTTAATCAGCAAAAAACAGAAGTGCGTGTGTGGCTCCGATGGTACAGTATCAGCCTTGAGAGAGAATGAAAAGAAGTAATGTGAGGTACTGAGTTCAAGCCCCCACATACATACAAAAGCAAAACAAGCCCTGAACTGAGGATTGTTTCCCTTCTGTTAGAATTTTCTGATGGATGGAGGAATGTGCTTACTATTGTAGAACATGGCTGTCTTATGGCCTGCTTTGTACTTAGGTCATGTTGGCTCCTTATTGTCAACCTGAGGAAAGGGGTAGAAAGGATGTTGCTAGTGTAGTGTTTCATAGGAAATCTGAAAACCATCATATATTTCCCTTTTTAACTGTAGTCCACTATAAGGACATGCCATCTTTGTTTTTATAAATCTGAAGGTTATCAAGGTCAAGGATGAAGAAAGCCAACAAAACAGATTCTCTGCTGTCTTGTTCCATATAAATGTCATGAAAATAATCATTCAGTAACAGATTTGGTGGCATTTTTTGTTAAAGATGTCACTGCTTTTTTTTAATAGTGAAGCGTGAAAATTTGGAGGAAAAAGTGTATTTTGGAATTGTCGGTGTCAGGATTTTGGTTCACCAGTGGCCTATGACATCTGGTTCCAATTTGCAACTAATTGTCATTCAAGAAGAGGTAGTAGAGGTCGATGGACAGCAGGTAAGATGCTGTGCTTGTTCACTGGATGTTAGACGGTAAAGTTAAGTTTGTGCTGTCTTAAGAAGGTAACACAGTATTGTCTATATTCAATATTGTCTGTATATTTAGAATTATTTACTTTAGCATTTGAAATTTATTAATTTAAAAACAATTTGTTATAAATTCCCCATATTTGTATCACTTAAAAATGTCATAAACATCATTGAACAGAGAAAGTAAGAAAACATTAACTTGTTTATCACCGCTGTGGCTTATGTCTGCAATTGTAGTGACTCAGGAAGCTAAGATCTAAGGATCATGGTTCAAAGCCAATTGGGGCAGGAAAGTCCCTGAGACTCTCATCTCCAATTAGCCACCAAAAGCCAGAAATGGAGTTGTGGATTAAGTAACAGAGCTAGCCTTGAGCAACAAAGCTCAGAGACAATGCCCAGGCCCTGAATTCAAGCCCTAGCACTGGCAAAAAAAAGAAGACAGGAATATGAGTGAGGTTGTGAACTTAATGCCTTGGGGTACTGAGGATGAATAATTGTCAGCACAGGGCAAGGTTTTTAACTACAGAAGTCAAGGAAGAAAAAATTTTTATAGTGCTAGCTCGTCATTTAAAATAAAATGTACTATTTTGCTTTCACAGGCTCAACAAAAGGATGTTACTGAAATTGACATTTTAGTGAAGAATCAAGGAATACTCAGACATTCAAACTATACCCTTCCTTTGGAAGAGAGCATGCTGTACTCTTTGTCCCGAGACAGTGACATTTTAATTACTGTTCCTAACCTCTCCAAAAAAGGTAAGTTGAAAGACTAATTTCAGATGCTAAGAACAGTATTGCTTTTTTTGGTTAGTATTTCTGGGGGGTCCAGTTGTGGGGCCTGAACTCTGGGCCTGGGTGCTGTCCCTCAGCTCTTCAGCTCAAGGCTAGCACTCTACCACTTGAGCCACAGCGCCACTTCTGGCTTTTTTTTTTTTTTTTTCTGTTTATGTGGTGCTGAGGAATCGAACCCAGGGCCTCATGCATGCAAGGCAAGCGCTCTACCACTGAGCCATCTTCCCAGCCCTTTGGTTAGTATTTCTTTAGTTAGTAGTTTTATATGCTTTTTTTCTTCTTTTTTCAATACTGGGATTCAAACTCAGGCATGCTTGCACGACCGGCACTCTTCCACTTGAGCCACACCCTCAGCCCTTATATACTCTTAAGCTTTGTTAAGTTTTACATTGTTTGTAAAATATGCTCTCTATTCTTAATTACAGTTGTTTTGTGTATAAACTTATGTACAGAACAAATGAGAGGCTGGGGTGTGGCTTATGGTAGAGTACTGGTCTAGAATATGTGAGCCCCTGAGTAGTCTGTGATCAGCACTGATTGCACAGTGACATGCTCAAGTACTTACCCACATTACATATTTGTAATAATATGTAATAATGATATGTAGTACTTGCTCCTGCAGCACACATACTAAAATCAGGAGCCATACAGATTACCGTGACTTCTACATGCCAATTCTATATTTAGAAAATAAAATATTTAAAAGACTCATTTAGAGAAAGAAGTACTCATTTTCACTGAAACATAGAACATTTAAAATTTAGATTTTTCTATGTGACAAAGTCACATAGCTGTAGCTCCTTAAAAGGAATGAATATGTCTCCCTTTTGATGTGTAAATCAAACAATAGGACAAATTTATTTTGCTCTCCCATATCGCAATATATCCTGTCCTATATGTAATTGGTCTAATCACCTTAGGACCAGTAGAGAGCCTGGGGTATCCTGGGAGCATTTTGGTAACTGTGCTCTTCCTCCTCAGTAGATAGTGTTAGTTTGTTGCAGACCACCAGCCAGTATCTTATCAGGAACATGGAAACCACTGTGGATGAAGATGCTTTGCCTGGCAAATTACCTGAGACTCCTCTTAGAGCAGATCCTCCTTCCTCATACAAGGTAAATTTATCTGGTGTTATGAACAATGATGGTTAAGTTGAATAAAATAGATAATAGCACTTAAAACAAGTGGAATCCATAAATTTATGATTAGATTACAATTGTGGAGTATAAGAGAACTTAGCCGGGCGTCAGTGGCTCACGCCTGTAATCCTAGCTACTCAGGAGGCTGAGATCTGAGGATCACAATTCAAAGTCAGCCTAGGCAGGAAAGTCCATGAGACTCTTATCTCCAATAAACCAATAGAAAACTGGAAGTGGCTCTCTGGCTCAATCGGTAGAGTGCTTGCCTTCAGCTGAAGAGCGCAGGGAGAGCACCCAAGCCCAGAGATCAAGCCCCATGACTGACCAAAAAAACCAAAACAAAAAAAAATGAACTCATTGTGGTGTTTTTTCGTTGGTTTTTCTTTTTTTAATTGTTGTTATAAAGGGAATGTGCAGAGCAGTAACAGTTACATAAGTCAGGTAATGAGTACATTTCTTTTTGGACAATGTTTTTGGGTTTGTTTGGTTGGTGATGGTGGTTTTTTGTTGTGTGTGTATGCTGCTACTGGGGTTTAAACTCAGGGCCTCGCTTCTTGCTTTGGTAGATTTTTTACTCAAGGCTGGTACTCTACCACTGGAGCCACACCTTTACCTCCCATGGTTTTAGTTTAATATACGTAGCTATTCTTGTTTTCCTCCATACAGTTCCATTTTTTATAACGGACAAGCCTAATCTCTTACATTTAGCATTTATTTTTCATTTCATTTGTACTTAGACAACAGTGTAAGTAATTTCTGTGCCTGTGTTTTTATAATCTTTAAAGATTGTAATGAACCTCCTTAGGAGACATTTTCACCCTTCCTGCTTTAGTCCCCTAACCCCTCAAGGTACATTCTAAATTAAAATGTACCTGTTTAAAATCCACAACTTTTGGGATGGTTTTGGGGGATTTTGGGGGGATGGTTTATTTGGAATATATATGTGCATATATACATATATATGTATATAACAAAAATAATACATATATATGTATTTGTGTTTATTCACATTATGATTATCAAGGCCCTAAAGTTGATTTGGTTGGGAATCTTCAGTCCCAGAGATTTTTTCCTCTGCCTCCATTTCTTTACTTTGCTACTCTACCTCAGTCATATGTCCTCCGGATCTCATGTGGTAGTTAGGCACAGTGGTTAGAAGTAGACATTTTAGAGTCCTTACTGTCTACGATTGAAATATGGTCTGGCATTTACTAGTTGTATGATGTTTGACTAATTCCTTTAACCTGTTTACCTATGCTCAGTCTGTAAAGTATTTAAGGTGAGGTAAGGTTTCAGTAATATGGATATTACAGATAAGCATGCATTGATAACTACTAAGTACTCACAGAATAGCCATGATACTTCTACCGATGACTGGAAAGATAATCACACGTCAGAGAATATTCAGGTATCTCGCCATGTTAGCTAGGTCCCTTACCTTATTTAAATGAGTAAACTCTATGATTCATCAGCAGGAAGTTCTCACTCACATTATTTAGGGTTGCAGTAACCTGTCTGGCCCACTTGTAGCCTCCTAGAACACTGCCTGTGTTTGCCACTGTCTTCATACTCCCTGCCATCAGTGCCTCACTCTTAAAGTATGGAAACATTTTATATTCAATGAACCTTCATGCTTCTAAAAGCTGCTCCCAAGTTAGTCTTTCTCTCCTTTTTCATCCTCCCAGTATTTGACACAGACTCTGGTCCATTTTTTTACAATGGACAAGCCTAACTAATCTCTTATCATTTAGCATTTATTTTCCATTTCATTTGTACTTAGACAACAGTGTAAGTAATTTCTGTGCCTGTGTTTTTATAATCTTTAAAGATTGTAATGAACCTCCTTAGGAGACATTTTCACCCTTCCTGCTTTAGTCCCCTAACCTCTCATTAAGGTACATTCTAAATTAAAATGCACCTGTTTAAAATCCACAACCTTTGGGATGTTTTTTGGGGGGGAATTTTTCCCCCGTGTGCTGAAATTGAGCCCAGGACTTCAGGAATACAAGATATTCTACCACCGAATCATGATCCACCTCCAGCTCAAAAAGCATAGTTGGTTTTGAGACACAAATAACTACCAACTCATTCAAAATACACAATATTTTCATCTCTCCAGAACTAAAACATGGAGAAATTTAATGATTTCAAGTGTATGGGACTTGGCGTAACTTATCACAGCTCGTGTTTCAGGTGATGTGCCTGTGGATGGAGAAGTTCAGAAAAGACCTGTGCTTGTTCTGGAGCAGGATTTTCCCCGTGGTCTTCATGCTTCTCAATGTCATGGTGGTTGGAATGCTTGGAGCAGCTGGGGTCATAACCATGTTAAAGCTGCTTTTCCCAGTTTCTGACTACAAGTAAGTGTTTCTTATTTTTGAAACTTTAGCATTTTAATTATTAAAATGTGAGTTATATTTACTGTATTTTTAATAGAATGTATAAGAAGGTAAGAAAAAAGGGGGAAATAAAATAACACCTATTTTTTTCTAGCACATTAATCAACTTTGACAAAATTAAAATGTTTATTAAATCCTTGTTACGATCAGAATATTGGTAGCCATTCAAGAGTAAGACAAGCTCTGCCAAGAAATGAAAGCCTACAGAGAGAAAATGGAAACAAACTTGCACAATAGAAAGTACAGTGAGCAGGGCACTGGTGGCTCACGCCTGTAATCCTAGCTACTCAGGAGACTGAGATTTGAGGATCATGATTCAAAGCCAGCCCGGGAAGAAAAGTCCATGAGACTCTTATCTCCAAAAAACCAATAGAAAACCCGAAGTGGCACTGTGGCTTAAGCAGTAGAGTGCTCGCCTTGAGCTGAAGAGTGCAGGGATAGCACCCAAGCCCAAAGTTCAAGCTCCATGACCGACAAAAAAAAAAGAATAGTACAGTGGACCCTGACTATGTACATTCAAACCTATAATTTCAAAGATCATCAGTATTTCATTACAGCACTGTCTATAATAGAAAACGCAAGCAGCTAGGAGCCTCTGCCTCATCTCTGTAATCCTAGCTGTAGGAGGCTAAAATCTAAGGATCACAGTTCAAAGCCAGCCCTGCCAGGAAAGTCTGTAAGACTCTTTACTTCTAAAAACACTACTAAAAAGCTGGAAATGGAGCTGTGGCTCGAGTGGAGAATATAAGCCAGAGCTAAAAAGTTAAGGACAGCACCCAGGCCCTGAGTTCAAGTCCAGTAACCCCTCCAAAAAGATAGATAGATAGATAGATAGATAGATAGATAGATAGATAGATAGATAGATAGATAGATAAAAGAAAGGAAAGAAAGAGAGAGAAAACTCAACCAAACTAAGAACCTTCTTAACTATTTACTGGTAAGGACGTAACTAAGTAAATGGCTCAGGCAGGCAGTGAGATGCTTTGTTCTGCGGAGTACAACTGTTTGGATAGAACAAAAGCTTTATATGCGTTATGTGTACATATATGCAAAGAAAGTATTTTTGGTTGAGAAAATATATCTAGTGAATCAGAATGAGACCCAGGATAGAGAAACTGATTTTTATTTTTATCCTTCCATATTTTATTTTTAATCCAAGAAATAATTTTAAAAATGAAATAAAGAACATTTTCACAAGTTACTCCAGTAGTAATTTTTTAGTAGTTTTTATTTTGTTTTAGTAGGGTTTTTTTTTTTTTGTTTCTTTCCAATAGTAGTTTTTGTTTTCTTTTTCCTTTTTCTTATTTTTGGCTTGAGCCTTGTATTTGCTAAACAATTACTCTACCACTGGAGCCACACCTGTAGTCCTTCTGCTGCTTCTGGTTTATTTTTCAGGCAGTCTTATTTTATTTATGTATTTTTTTTATGCCTGTCCTGGTGCTTGAACTCAGGACCTGGGCAATGGTCTCAGAGCTTTGTGCTCAAGGCTAGCCCTCTACCACTTGAGCCACAGCTCCACTTCCAGCTTTTTGGTGGTTATTTGGAGATAAGAATCTCATAGACATTCCTGCCCAGACTAGCTTTGAATCACTATCCTCAGATTTCAGCCCAGTAAGTAGCTAGGTTTACAGGCATGGGTCACAGGCACCCAGGAAGTCTTGTAGTTTTGCCTGCCCTACCTCCTGAATAGTTGGACTACAGGTGTGTACCACCATACCTAGTTTGGATTTTTTGATTGGGTCTTGAACTTTTGCCCAGGTTGACTTTGGATCAAGATCTCCTATTCCAAATAGCTACAATCACAGGTATGTCCCACTAAACCTGGCTTACCTCAAAAGTATTGCTTTGTTCTTCAGTTCTTATTATACCTAGAAGTATTGTCATCTTTTTGGAAAAGCAACTTTTATCCAAATTTTATGTGTTGAGGTAAATGTATACTAGTTATGGTCTCTCTCTTGCGCACGCATGCTCTCTTTCTCTCTCTCTCTCTCTCTCTCTCTCTCTGTCTTTCTCTGTCTCTTTCTCTCTCTCTTGCAGTATAGGGTTTTGAACTCAGGGCCTTGTGCTTTCTTTTTTTTTTTTTTTTTTTTTTGGGGGGGGGGGGTCCGGTCGTGGGGCCTGAACTCTGGGCCTGGGCGCTGTCCCTCAGCTCCTCAGCTCAAGGCTAGCGCTCTACCACTTGAGCCACAGTGCCACTTCCGGCTTTTTTCTTATTGCTTATGTGGTGCTGAGGAATCGAACACAGGGCCTCATGCATGCAAGGCAAGTGCTCTACCACTGAGCCACCTTCCCAGCTCCCCTTGTGCTTTCTAAACACATATTCTATCACTGATGCCTTCAGGTCTTATTGTACTGATTTTTTTGTTGTTTTTGTTGTCAGTCCTGGGGCTTGAACTCTGTGCCTGGACGCTGTCTCTGAGCATCTTTTGCTTAAGGCTAGCACTCTACTACTTGAGCCATAGCACTACTTCTCGCTTTTTCTGTGATTAATTGGAAATAGTAGTGTTATGCCCAAGTTGGCTTTAAAGCACGATCCTCAGATCTCAGCCTCCTAAGTGGCCAGGATTACAGGTGTGAGCCACCAATACCCCAAGCACTGGTTACTTTTTTGAAATAAGAGTATTACTTCCTGTTCAGAAGTGTGCCTGGACTACAGTTTGTCTATTTTTGCTTCCTGTCATAGCTAAGACAACAAGCATATGCCTAGCTTTCTCCATTGAGATGGAATAAGTCTTGGACCTTTCTGCCCAGGCTCACCTGGAATCAGGATCCTCCCAATCTCAGCCTGTATGTAGCTAGGATGACTGGCATGCACACCACACCCAGCTGTGTTTGGACAGGATCTCCTGGACTTTTCTGCCTAGCTTGGTCTTGAACTGTGATCTCAGCCTCCCAAGTAACTAGTTAGTATTACAGGCATGAGCTACTGGCATCTGGCTAACATAGACTGTTAATTGTTCTGTTTTTCATTTAAGACAGTGGTTCCTATATTTTCTTAGTTCACAGCATCCTTAGTATGCCAGTAATTGTGATGCCCCAGCTGCAGCTCAAACTGCATTCCTCCCAATCTCTGCCTCTGAAACAGCTGGGATTACAGGCTTGAGTCACAGCGCCCAGCCCTCTTTTTCACCCTTAATTACTAGTGGAATGTATGTTCTTGATAGAGTACTATACAGTACTGCATATCTTAGAATTACACTGAATAGGGAATGGGGCTTAATGGTAGAGTCTTTCCCTAGCATGTATGAAGCCCTGGGTTTGATTCCTCAATACCATATACACAGAAAAGCCCAGAAGTGTTGTGGCTCAAGTGGCAAAGTGCTAGCATAGAGCAAAAGCAGCTCAGGGACAGTGCCCAGGCCCAGAGATCAAGCCCCAGGACTAGTCAAAAATAATAATTACATTGTACCTGGTTGTCTTCATTTCCTTTCAGCAGTAGTTTCCACAACATTGGCTTTTTATATAACTGACAAAATCTAGCTTCGTAAAGATGTGACTTTGTTGAAAGGAATAAAGTGCAACCCAATGTTGGAACTGGTATTACATATAAAATTCTCTTTAAAATTTCTTTTTTTTTTTTTGGGTCTGGTCGTGGGGCCTGAACTCTGGGCCTGGGCGCTGCCCCTCAGCTCTTCAGCTCAAGGCTAGCGCTCTACCACTTGAGCCACAGCACCACTTCCGGCTTTTTTCTTTTTGCTTATGTGGTGCTGAGGAATAGAACCCAGGGCCTCATGCATTGCAAGGCAAGCACTCTACCACTGAGCCACCTTCCCAGCCCCAAAAATCTCTTTAAAATTTAAATCTGTGTTGGCTCTGTGTAAGCCCAGGTGTCATTGTGCTGTTTGGAAACCATGAATTTGGTCTTTTCCATCATTACACAAATAATTTTCCATCAAACCTACTGTTTTAATGTTTTGAATCAATTCAAAATTGTGTACAGCTTACCTTTGTGTATATGTGTGTGTGTGCCAGTACGGGGGCTTGAGCTCAGGCCTGGGAGTCATCCCTTAGCTTTCGCAATGAAGGTTTGCACTCTGCCACTTGCAATATAGTTCCATTTCTGGCTTTTTGGTGTTTCCTTGGAGATATGAATCAAGGACTTTCTTTCCCTGCTAGCTTCAAACCAGACCTCAGATCCCAGCTTCCTGAGTAGCTAGGACTATAGATGTGAGCCACTGATGCCTGGCTGAAATTCTGTTTTCTTAAACTTCATTGTTTTACTATCATTTCTGAGTGTACATTAGAATTCTGATTTTGTTTTCCAGAGGTAGTGTTTGGTTGGTTTTGTTTTGTTTGTCCTGGAGCTTGAATTCAAGGCTTGGGCCCCAAACTTTTTTTTTGCTCAAGGTTAGCACTCTACAAGTGAGCCACAGCACCACTTCCAGCTTTTTGGTGGTTAATTTGGAGATAAAGAGTCTCAGGGATGGGCTGGGAAGGTGGCTCAGTGGTAGAGTGCTTGCCTTGCATGCATGAGGCCCTGGGTTCAATTCCTTAGCACCACATAAACAGAAAAGGCTAGAAGTGGGGCTGTGGCTTAAGTGGTAGAGCGCTAGTCTTGAGCTGAAGAGCTGAGGGACAGTGCCCAGGCCCAGAGTTAAGGCCCCATAACCAGCAAAAAAAAAAAAAAAGAGTCTTAGGGAGTAGGGCGCTGGTGGCTCATGCTTGTAATTCTAGCTACTCGAATTAAACACCAGGAAACTGAAAGCAGAGCTGTGGCTCAAAGTGGTAGAGTGCTAGCCTTGAGAGCTAGAGGGACAGCACGCAGGCCCTGAGTTCAAGAGTTCAAGCCCCATAACAGACAAAAAGAAGTCTGAAGGATTTTCCTGCCCAAGCTGGCTTCAAACCATAACTCGCAGATCTCACCTTCCTGAGTAGCTAAGATTACAGGCATGAGCCACCTTTACCAACCTTCCAGAGAGATGTTTAGTTTGACTTGGAACGTTTTTTTAATATGAACTGAATTTCCTAATATATTGATCTATTCCTAGACTGTTCCGCTTATCTGTCTAATCTTGTTTCAACAGCAATATTAATACTGTATCAATCTTATCTATCATTTAGTGATGCTGGTGATAAAACTCAGGGCCTGTACCATGCTAGGCAAGTACTCTATCACTAACCTGTATCCCCAGGATGTTTGTTTGTTGTTTTTACAGGGTTAAAGCAGCCACAGGGTTCACAGGCATCTCACTAAAGACAAGTACAGAAAGAAACCTGACACAGATGAAGTCAGTGCTTGCTATTAGATATTTACATAACAAACCCAGTCCTAGTACTGGCAGCAGACAGGGTTGCCAAAGAACAGTTAGTTCTAGGCACTGAGCTGGCTCAAGGCACCATGGTCTAGTTGAGTGGCATTTACAGTTGGCCATGTCAGGCCAGGGGATGGGGATCAAGCCAAGCTGAAGCCTCTGGAATGACTAGAGATTAGTAGAGTAATGAGAACAGAATACATGCTGCAGGCGGATGGCCTGATGACAGGTCAGATGCTACCACACCCCAGCATTAGGTGCCTTCCTTTTATGTATTCTGGGAATGTGGGGATTACCGTATTCATTGGTTTAGTGTGTTTGATAACTTTAAGTTACAAACAAAGTAGGTCTCTGCCTCCTGGTTCCTGCTGCACAGGCAATGATGGTTTAGTTATCCAAAGAAGATCCGGAGTCATCCTGCCTCAGCATTCACACTGAAAACAGAACAGATTGCTGCTTTATCAAATGGAGTCACTGCTATATAATAATGGGATAACTTAGAGGAGGGCATAGCCCTCCACATTTATACCCACCTTGTTTTGTTCTAAAGAAACTGATCTCTGTTGGTATCTTAAGAGTCACACAGAATTTAAAATACAAGATCTTGAATTCAAGCTGGGCACGAGTGGTTCAGGCCTGTAATCTTAGCTGCTCAGGAAGCTAGATCTGAGGATCATGGTTCAAAGCCAGTCCTTGAGACTCTTATCTCCAGTAAACCACTCAGAAAACCAGAAGTGGTGCTGTGGCTCAAGTGATAGAGCACTAGCCTTGAGCTGAAGAGCTCAAGGGACAGCACTCAGGCCCAGAGTTCAAGGCCCATGACCAACAACAACAACAAAAAAATCTTGAAATCAGTACAAACACCTACTTTCTGGCCAGATATTTTAATGGAAAAAACAAAAAAGGAATAGTGACTAAGGATCTAACATTGTGTTTTGGTGGATGGAGAGTACTAGAAAGTTGTCTGGGATGTCTTTTTGCCAAACCTAGGACCAACACTGATTTGAGGACCTAGGCTTTACTTGTGCTTTCCTTTCCTACACTATGAAAGCAGTCAAGTTTCCATTCCCTCGGTCCCTGTGGTTAAAAAAATTGGGGCTTGCCACTGATTATAGGCATGAGCCACTGATGCCTATAATCCTAGCTACTCAGGAGGCTGAGATCTGAGGATCGTGGGTTAAAGCCAACCCCCATGAGACTCATCTCCAACTCAAAAACCAGAAGTGGTGCTATGGCTGAAAGTGGTAGAGTGCTAGCCTTGAGCAAAAAGAGCTCAGGGACAGTGCCCAGGCCCTGAGTTCAAGCCCCACAACCAACCCAAAAACAGGGTGGGGGGGCTTGACATGTTGAATTGACAATTCCTTTGTACAACTACTTAGAGATAATTTTTTTACTGTCACAAAAAAAAATAACTTAGGGCTTACAGTTTGCACAACCATTATAAACACAATAAAGCAAAAGCATCAAACCCAAGGTATAGCTAATCCTTGAAGTAGTCTTATACACCAAACAATTAGAGGAAATATTTAATTTGGATTAATAATCATAACCTTCTATTTCAGAGGAATTCTTAAGATGGATGAAGTGAATGTTGTACCAGTGACAGCTATCAATGTTTATCTAGATGGCTCTGAGGACAAAGCAGAAAACCTTGAATATAAAACACGTATTTAAAATACCATCTCAAATCATGGATTCTGAACTAATCTCTCCGAATTTGCCACCTGAATATGATTTTCTTCAAATCATTGTCAGTTTTTGCATAAAGAAATTACCAAACTCCTAAATCTGCCTGAAAATTGACCTTCACAATGCCAAGTTAAAGTTGGCCTTTTCTGTAAGAGGGTCCTTGTTTGGATGAAATACTAAAGAAAAGCTAAGTGAAGGAGAAGATGTGGAGAGATGCTGAAAGCACCAAAAAGAAAATTAAAAGGTGAGCCAGAGTGCCATGTGCCAATCACTTTCCCAGGTGCCTTGACTAAGGAAATTACATCCATTAACTGTAAAATTTTATAAAAAAGCACTTTATGAAATTTTAATTTAAAAGCTCAAGAATGTAACACTTATTTTTTTATTCAGCACAATGTGCCTTTCTGTTAAGCATGTAACAGTATGAAATCACTGAGAGTGTTATGATTTACCAGTGTCATGCACAAGACCACTTTTATCTTTAATGCCCCTGGACTTAAAAATTGTAGTGATATGTTCTCACTCTAAAATAAACTTTTTTACAGAAAACCAGTTAACAGTTACAAAATGTATTACACATCAAAACTGCCCAGCTGAGAAGCATATAGACACATATAGGATAGTGTAGATTATGTCACTCACAATAGCTGAAACCAGCAAAAGGCTAGCATCAAACAAGCCTGTCATTATTGAATTAAAGTGCTTTCTTGATCGTGTGGTCCTAGCTATAGTGCTGGTTGCCCTACAAGTGTTTTTCCTTTGTCTGTTCCTGTTTTCCTTTTGAACTGACACATGTAACTTCTCATTACTCAGTATAATGCTTTGTTTTGTTTTATTGACAACTTTTACGCATACCTGAATCACAGTATTTAGTAGGCTAAGGTAGGATGATCAAAAGTTTGAGGCCAGCCCAGGCTAAAGAGGTAAGAGCCCACTGAAAACACAAACAAAATTAAAAATCTTATTACAACCTATCATTTTAAAATTGGTATCCATAAAAAGTACTGGCTGTTGGGTATGTACTGGAGCCTTGAACTCGGCTCCTGCTTGGTTTTTTTCCTCAAGGCTGGCACTCTTTAACACTTGAACCACAACTGTGCTCCTAGCTTTTTGCTAGTTAATTGGAGGTGAGTCTCGAATTTATCTGCTTAGACCGAACCTTGATTTTGAACCTTGATTTTTAGATCTCAGACTCCTGGAGTAACTGGGAATTACATATATAAGCCACCAGTGCTTAGCCTGGCTGGTTTTTTTTTTTTTTTTAAATTTTTATTTATTTATTTATTTTTTGGATCTGGTCGTGGGGCCTGAACTCTGGGCCTGGGCACTGTCCCTCAGCTCTTCAGCTCTTTGCTAGCGCTCTACCACTTGAGCCACAGAGCCACTTCCGGCTTTTTTCTTTTTGCTTATGTGGTGCTGAGGAATCGAACCCAGGGCCTCTGGCTTGCAAGGCAAGCACTCTACCACTGAGCCACCTTCCCAGCCCTTGGCTGGTTTTTTAAACCTATTTAAGTCTATTTAAGCAAAATTAATGTAGCCAAGGGGAGGAAGAATGCCAAGTATGAGAACAAAGAACAGTATTTCATTTTGCCTTTCTGGTTGTAGCTAGTAAAATAACTGAGTGGTACAAGCATGTAATACCAGCACTCAGGGGACTAAGTCCAGTCTGGAAAACATAGTGAAACCATCTCCAAAAACTAACAAAAGCATAAGAAAAACACAAAAAAGTCTCCAGTAGTAACTTTTTTCATACCCTTCCTTGTTCTGTACGTTATTAGGAAGCCTCAGTTCTAAGATTATGATCTTATTTCATCCACTAATCGTAAGTTTATAGACTCAAGTAAGAAGAAAACTTGAGAACATACGACCTGTTGGAGAGGATGGGCTCTGTTTTCAGCAGACTTCCTATCCCAGCTTTCCTTTCCAGAAAAACTTGAACCACAGCAAGGAAGCCCATCTCCTTGAATCTGCTTTCTTTTCTGTGGTTGGGATATAATACGTTATTTTCTTGTAAAGTCATACATGGGAATCTTACCTCAAATTTTTTTCCCAAAGCCAGTATGGGTTTTTTTTTTTTTACTATTATTTACCTCAAAAATTTTATACTATGAACTTGTTTTTCATTTACTACCTTTCAGTAGGAATTTTCCTTTTCTTCCTTTTGGTATGCCAAGAGAGAGCTTCATGCTTGCCAAACAGCCTCTATTTAAACCCATACTCCAGGCCATTTAGTAACTTTTTAAAAAATACTATTCACTGGCATGTTGGGCTACAGTACAATGTAAACCTACCTACACATAACACAGCCTCTTATGTAGGCAGAATGCTCAGACAAGACTGGACCTATTTTCCTCCTTTAAATTCACACTGTAGTGAAGAGTCTTACTCTCCCAGAAAGACAAGGGAAGCTACCATGACACAATGCCGGAAGGATAGGAATCTATGCTTTATTTAGCTACTTACTTGTCTAGTTAATTTTCCATTAAAAAAGATACCTGTGTTCTAACCTCTGTGGTCAGTGACATGGAAATCAGACAGTGCTAAAAGAAAAAGAAGGGGCTGGGAAGGTAGCCCAGTGGTAGAATGCTTGCCTTGCATGCATAAGGCCCTGGGTTCGATTCCTCAGCACCACATAAGCAGAAAAAGCCAAAGTGGCACTGGGTTCGATTCCTCAGCACCACATAAGCAGAAAAAGCCAAAGTGGCACTGTGGCTCAAGTGGTAGAGCGCTAGCCTTGAGCTGAAGAGCTGAGGGACAGCGCTCAGCCCCAGAGTTCAAGCCCATAACCGACCAAAAAAAAAAAAAAAAAAAAAGTGAAAGAAATGTACCGCTTAAAAAATTGCCTTTATTCAGAATCATAAGAAATTTTTCAATGTTACCATTATGAAAGTTTAAAAAAATATAGCACTCAGTGCAATGAAACACTACATTTAATTTTTCAGAAAAAGACTTAAGGTGGGTTTCTCACAGTGTACATGTGAGATGTCAGCATGATCCAAACTCAAAAATCCACTTCTCGTATCTCTCGATATCTGCTGCAGATACTGACTTAGACACCTTCTTTAAAGCCATTTCAAAATCCTCCATAGTTGTGGGCATGTGCATTTCTTCTCTTGAAAGGTTTCGGATTTCTTCTGGGGTCAGACCTTCAATACGCCTTCTCATTGCCATCAAGGATGCATCCCTATGTTTTAAGTTAAAAAGAAAGCCAAAAACTGTTATTTTGATTGAATAAAAAATATGCATGTATTATTATGAGTGCAAAATAAAGAGTAAGCATCACAGACAGAAGAGATTACATTAATTAGAAAATTAGGTATTTGCTCTATAAGAAGAGATGAATGGCTGGATGTGGTAGCACTGTAATTGCAGCTTGTGTGAGTGAGGTATAGAAAAGAAGGGTCCTGGTGTGAGGCTAGCCTGAGCAAAAGTAAAATAAAGAACAAGCTGGGTATGGTAGTACGTACATCTTTATAATCCCAGCTAACACATGATTGAATCAGGTAATTTCTCCTTTGCCTCACACTCACTACTATATAACTTCATACTCAAGTATGTCTTCCATTTAATGACTCATCTTTAACTGCAGCCACCAGGTTGGCAAGGGACAGTGACTTAGCAGCCTCACAAGTGCACAAGTTCTCTGATCTAGTGCTGAGCTCATGTTAGAGACAGGAAGCCAGTGCTAAGAGGCTTCTGCCAAGACTTAGATTAGGACAAGCTAGTTACATCAACAGGACTGAAGTCAGTTTTTGTTTTACTCCTGTTCTCACCCCATTAGGATATGCTCATTGCACACACAAATGTTAACTGTGCTCTGTGGGTATGTCACAGTCATTTCCCAAATACCAATAAAGTGAAATGCACCAATAACTTTAAATCCAAGATAATTCATTTTTACCCAATTGTTCTAATATGAGCTTCATGAACAAACAGCTTTCAAGTAAACTAAAGATACTTTACTCACATGCAAGATACTCAAATATCTTACCAGCACCTGCAACCCTGTCACATGGATCTGTATTTCTTTTTTCTTTTTTTTGTCTGTCATGGGGCTTGAACTCTGGGCTTGGGCGCTGTCCCTCAGCTCTTCAGCTCAAGGCGACCGCTCTACCTCTTGAGCCACAGCACCACTTCCGGTTTTTCTAGTGGTTTATTGGAGATAAGAGTCTCACGGACTTTCCTGCCCCGGCTGGCTTTGAACCATGATCCTCAGATCTCAGCCTCCTGAGTAGCTAGGATTACTGGCCTAAGCCACCAGCGCCCGGCTGTATTTCTTTTTTTTAAAGAGAGCCTCAGCATGTAGCCAGTCTATCCTCAAACTCCAAATCCTCTTGTCTCAACTTCCTGACTGCTGGGCTACAGGCATGACCACCATACCTGGCTCTACTCTTTATCTATCTTACTGTGGCATAAAAACTTCATAATATAGAAGTTTTTACTCACAAAATCTTTAGTTTCCACATAATACATACCTGCACACATTGGTAATGTCCGCACCTGAATAACCTTCCATGTTTTCAGCTATACTTGTAAGGTTAACATCCTCAGCCAATTCCAGCTCACGCAGACTTATTCGTAGTAACTCCTCCCTGCCTTTTGCTAATGGTAGAAACACATTTTAAAATGTAAGCCATTAAGCACAGTGTATTATTTTTTTCTCAAGTCCAGTATAAGTTGTTTCCTAATTTTTAGAACTCTGTTGGTTAAAATGTCAAGAGGTATATTCCCTTCTGCACCTTAAATTACCAAGAAATACAAGGAAAAACAGCCTACTTTGTCTTTTCAAGGAAGATTATCACATAAATGGATTAACAGGAACTTTCGGACAAGATTTAGATGACAATACCTGATGGTAGAGGAATATAGATTCGTTTTTCAAGACGTCTTCTTAAAGCCTCATCTATGTCCCAGGGGAAATTTGTAGCTGCCAGAACCATAACCATCTTGGAAGGGTCATCATTTTCAGAGGCACCTCCAACACCTGAAATGAAGAATAATGAGAGATATTACAGATATGTCAATCGATAAGCAAGGGAAAATGAGTTTTAGTAGTACGTAATGACTCAAAATAGATTTAACTTTTTTCAAATATATACATAACCCTTCCTAAGGCCAACTTACCTGAATGCATTTCTACTTCAGTTCCATGGATAAAAATGAGACCAGTAAATACAAATGCTCAAGCATATCCTATAAATGACCATAATTTCTTACACGTCACTATGGCCAGTGTACCATATTTATTCTCATAAAATCTCTAGGCACTCTGGCCCATCTGGAGTTATGAACACTGATTAAATGCATTGGATAGGTTAGCACTAGGCGTAGAGCAGGACACACTATCCTCCCACCCCAGGTCAATCCTTGCAGAGGTTTGTATCTACCATCCATCTGAACCAGCAGCTCTGCTTTCACCCTTCTGCTCGCTTCATGCTCCTCAGAAGTCCCTCGGCGACTGCAAATGGAATCTATCTCATCAATAAATATGGTGGCTGGGGAATAAAATCGAGCCTAAAGAAAGAAAATAGGTAACATCAAGTTGCTTCCCT